ATACTTATAATTAAACAATATATTTGGGATAATTCTTTCCTTCATCCAATAGATGACACACTTTGCCAACTGGACGCCGACACATGGCGCGAGATCCCTCTACTCATGGCCGGCCACAACTTCCTATAAATACCCCATTTTCCATCAATTTCGGGTAAGCCCTTGTTACACAAGTAAGCCTCCTCCAGAGAAACTAACTTAGGCATTAAAGATCAAAGACCAAACTCTCCCTCACCATGAACCATTGCCCAAACTTCCCCCCCTCCACTTTGTGGGTGTGTGACTTTGGTCTTTGATCAAAGTTGATTAATTGTTTTGAAGGTACAAATTCATCAAGACGGAAGATGGCGAATTTTTGCTACCACATTGTGCACACCAAGTAAATGAAACTTGGTTTCGAATTTCACATCGAAAAGACAACAAGAAAAAGCCAAAGAGTGTTTTCTATTTGCGGTCTGTACATATTTGGGTAAGGGTGCAGCATGGATGAACTACTCGTGGTAAGTTGAGTATGTTGAATTTTTCTTTTCTCCACTATAAAAATTCTAATGCGTTGAATATTTCGTTTCTCCACTATAAATATTCTCACACTCATAAAAAGTTTCATAATTGTTTGAATTTTTGTCCGTCCCACTCAAAGTTTTCCAACACTTCCACAAAGAAAGGCTTTTTTCTTTCTTTCATGGACAAAACTGAGGCTCAATCACTCGTTGATTCCAGAGGCAGGGCCTGTAATTATGCCCAATTGGACTGTGAGGACAAAGACCTGGGAGCTGCAGACTAATTTGCTCTTCCAATTCCTTGCTAGACACGGTGGGAGTTGTGGGCTATTTTCGGTCTCTTCACAATCACTGGCTATAATTCAATCAAGATTATGTTCTATGTGAGAAGATATATCGTGTATTTGTGTTTCGTGTGCATTCGTGTAAACGAAACTTGATTTCTAATTTCACAGCCAAAAGAGAGAAAAAAAAAAGAGTTTCTTATTTGGAATCTATATTTTGGTGAGGATAGAGCATGCACGTACTACTGGAGGCAGGCTGAGTTTGGTTAAACTCTTTCATGGCTTCATTCTGTTATGCATGAGCACACGTATGGGATCTGCAGCACTCTCCAGCACTAGTCTTGGAAATGAAACTGACCGCATGGTGCTACTCAACTTCAAGAAAAGCATCACTCAAGATCCTCTCCATGTCATGAGCTCATGGAATGAATCCGTCCATTTCTGCGGTTGGGTAGGCGTTACGTGCAACCATTACACCAGAAGAGTCTTCATGTTGAACCTGCAAGATCAGAAACTGACAGGCTCTTACCTCATTCTATAGGAAACCTTTCCTATCTTGCTAGAATCAACCTAGGAAGCAATAGCTTTTGTGGTGAAATTCCTGAAGAAATTGGTCGTCTGCAAAGCCTGCACTTTCTCAACTTGTCTCACAATTCCTTCAGCGGGAAAATTCCAACCAATTTATCCCAGTGTACACAACTAAAGACGATTGAGTTTGGTTACAATGAGCTTATTGGGTCAATTCCAAACCAACTCAGTTCCTTGTTAAAATTAAATCATATGGGGTTTGATACTAACAATCTCACTGGAACCATCCCGACTTGGATAGGAAACTTTTCTTCTCTGCATGACTTTGATCTTAGCTTTAACAACTTGCGAGGAAGCATACCCAATGAGCTCGGGCGGCTAACAAGATTGCGAAGATTCGCACTTCAAGGAGACAATCTCTCTGGTATAATCCCTGCTTCCATCTATAATATTACTTCCATATCATTGTTTGGTGTTGTTCAAAACCAACTGCATGGAGAGCTACCACCAAATCTCGGCATTGCCCTTCCTAATCTCAAAAAATTTCTCTGTGGCGACATCAAATTCACAGGAAATATTCCTGTATCATTGTCAAATGCTTCTAGACTACAAGATTTTGACATTATTATAAATGGTCTTACTGGAACACTCCCTGCTGAAAATTTTGGATCCTTACAAAGCTTAGTTTCGGTAGGCCTTGATCGCAATAGATTGGGAAGTGGGAAACCTGGCGACCTGAATTTTCTCAAGTTCTTGGCTAATTGTACTAGTCTTGAGCGGTTGGGTCTTTCCTATAATCAATTTGGGGGAGAATTGCCTGTATCAGTTTCCAACCTTTCCACCACATTAAGATATCTTATTTTGGGGACAAATTTGATACATGGAAGCATCCCTTTGGGTATTGGAAATCTTGTAAACTTGGTCCTGATTGGAATGGAGAAGAACTATTTCAGTGGTAACCTTCCTGAAGAAATTGGGAGGCTTCAGAAGTTGGAAATAATATATTTGGGTGGCAATAATCTTTCTGGGCCAATCCCGTCGTCCCTAGGTAACTTGACTTCATTGTTAAAGCTCAGTCTAGAATTCAATAGATTTGCGGGAAATATACCACCAAGTCTAGGAGACTGCCAACATCTATTAAAGCTTGACCTTTCTAGCAACAATCTAACAGGCACCATACCTAAAGATATTTTTGGGCTTTCGTTCCTTTCAATTTCTTTGAGCATGTATGACAATCATTTAACAGGTTCACTGCCGTCTGAAGTTGGCCTTTTGGTAAATCTAGTAGAGCTAGATTTATCAGGAAACAATTTATCAGCTGAAATTCCCACAACCCTCGGCAGTTGTATTATGTTGGTGCGCTTGAAATTGGAAGGTAATGAGTTTCAAGGAATAATTCCTCAATCTCTTAAAAGTTTAAGAAGCCTAGAAGAGATGGATCTTTCGCGCAATAACTTATCCGGGCAGATTCCTAAATTTCTAAGCAAGTTTAGATTTCTTAGGCATCTCAACCTTTCATATAACAATTTTGAGGGTAAAATGCCAGAAGAAGGAATCTTTTTAAATGCAACTGGCCTCTCAATTTTCGGAAATCCTAAGCTCTGTGGTGGCAACTCGAAGTTACATTTACCTGCATGCCCCAACATAAAGCCTCATTCATCTCGAGGCCTACTTGCCCAACATGTAGTTATCCCTTTAGCTTGTGCACTTGCCTTCATAATTGCTATGTCTTGCTTCATTGTTGCATGCTCTATGCTTAAAAAGCGAGGAGGTATACATGCAGCTTCACGTTCTTATAAGGATTGGAAATCAGGTGTTTCTTACTCAGAACTTGTTGAATCAACTAACGGGTTCTCGAGGGAAAATCTGATTGGTTCAGGAAGTTTTGGTTCTGTTTACAAAGGAGTAGTCCCTGGTGATGGAACTCTAGTTGCAGTGAAGGTATTAAACCTTCAACAACAAGGAGCATCCAAGAGTTTTATGGATGAATGCAAAGCTTTGAGAAGCATAAGGCACCGTAATCTTCTCAAGATCATAACTGCATGCTCAAGCATCGACAATCAGGGTCAAGATTTCAAAAGTCTAGTTTTTCAGTACATGGTGAATCAAAGTCTAGATGTTTGGCTGCATCCTAGAGAGGATGAGCAATCTCAAAGCAAGAGATTGAGCCTTATCCAAAGACTCAATATTGCAATTGACGTTGCTTCTGCATTAGATTATATCCACCATCGTTGCGGAACTTCAATTGTTCATTGTGATATAAAGCCAAGTAATGTTCTTCTTGACGAAGATATGGTGGCTCACGTTGGTGACTTTGGTTTAGCAAGGTTCCTATTGGAGTCGTCTGATGATCCCTCTCAAAGTCAAACCATGTCAACCGGGTTAAAGGGGTCGATAGGCTACATTCCTCCAGGTATGAGTTTCTATCACTTCTAGTGTTTTCTCTTCCTAATAACTTATCACTGGGCCAAATTAAGTCCTAATATAAGTATTGAATGGCAGAGTATGGCATGGGAGGTCAAGTTTCCATCTTCGGAGATATTTATAGCTTTGGAATATTGTTGCTAGAAATATTTACAGGAAGAAAACCTACAGATGACATGTTCAACAATGGTTTAAGCATTTGCCAGTTCGCTACCATGGCGATGCCTGACCATGCCATGGACATAGTTGACCCTTCATTGCTCATTGAATGTGGAGCTGTAGATGGCAGCCGACTTGAAGCAAGAAGGTTGGAGGAATGCTTAATTGCAGTGATTCAAATCGGAATCTCATGCTCTACAACATCACCGTCGGAGCGGATGCTTGTGGATGTTGCTGTCAACAAATTGAAGAAAATTAGAGAATCATATCTCAATTTAAGAGGTAGAGGCTAGAAATACAAATGTGAGTCCCGTTCTCGTAGACAGTGTTGTGCAAGAAAATTGTGATTAACCACCTTTCAATCTTAATCCAACAATGGAGGACTTAAGATCGAATGGTGGGTGACCACAATTGTGTTCCACCACGGCGTCGAGGATAACAGGACTGATAAATGTGGGGTTAAGTTTGTTGTATAATTAACTTCGTCTCGTGTTTGTGTGCAAGAAATCATTTGAATAAGGATATTATATGTATCAAATTTGTGTGACATCATGTAAGATTGAACTTAGCATTTCATATGGTAGAATAAGGAAAGAATGTTTCATTTGTTAATGGTTAATTTTCATTGAAGTCTATGACTCTGTTATCTTTATCCTGAGTTCACTGATGCAATTCTCCCACCATGCCATTTGAATGTTTCACAGGTAACACAAAAATCTCTTTTGTTACTGGTATCAATTTGACCCTCAATCAGTCATGTGGTGTTACTAATCCACATGCTATAATATAGTTGGACGAACAAATGTTTTAATATTCATGAACCGAAGATAGTGTTAATGACAAACGCATAAGTTAAAACATGAATGGAATGGTAACACCGGAAAAACTTTGTCACCATAAATTAAAAGGTTTCCCAATTAGATGTTTGAGTCAAAATCTTAAAGTAGCATATCATTTCTAAGAATTATCGGTAACATAGGATCTGATCCTAAATATTCTTCTACCCATTGTAACGTTCAGAAGTTAAAGTTCGGTATACTTGTAATTATAAAACGAAGGTTAAAAGAGATAATTGGCAATATCAAGGAATTATCAGGACTTCGGATTAAAAGCAAGAATGGGATACCCATTGCTACAAAAGGAAAGAACATTTCAATTGTTGAATTGAATCCAGTAAACAAAACACGGTCTCATAAAATACATAATCTTATTCTCAAACCAGGATTACTGGAGAATGCGCAGCAAAATCTGACCATCCTGGCTGGAGCCTTTGTTCTTCGCAAGTAATGCATATATTGCCTCAGTTTGAGAAGTACAGCGAACTGTCGCAAATTTAGAGGATTCTGGGAAAGACCTGCAACATAGTTTCGAATGAATAAAATAAAAATCTAGTACAGTAAAAGTATTTTACAAATGATATATATGCATATATGTCTGTCATTCACAATCTATTCAGCATACCTGAAAGTTATTGGAGGGAAGACAAATTGTATTCACAACCAGACAAAACTCGTTCTACATCTTCTGGAGCTGCAGTTTGAGGGATTCCTTCAATAAAACCTGATAATAGAGATCAAGTCCATTTCAGGTGATAGCAAATTAATTTTAAGCTAAGGTGTATTGGATTACATTCAAATATTGATGGCATATACTTGACGTAGGGGAAATAATAACTCCAAAATACAAAGAATCGACCTGCATATGAACATAAGGAGCCTGTTTCTGTTCGATCAATAGACTCAACACATATGCCAGCCTCAGTCACTCACTTTCTTGCGAAGGCTCATGCAAACATACTAAAACAAAAATTCACTAGGTTGCCACATAATAGTTCCAGAGATTCTGTTTTCACGAAGAAGCAACTGTATCCAGTTAATATTTATGTGTTATCCAGATCAAAAAACCCTACTTAAACAGAAGAATTTGAATTCATTAGGTTCAGCCTTGAAAGCCGAATATATGGCAGTCTCAGGATGAATATGTTATCAGTGTTTTAAGGCATCAATCCTGTCTTACTACTTGGTCCATTTCATTAAAAACAATAATTAGCATGCAATAGAAAACCTTGACTTACAGTTTTTCCATCATAGGAAGTAAGATCGTCCCACTGCGATCGGTTAGCCTGTCATTCACAAACCCAGAATCAGCCCACTACGACACAAAATAGGCGCGCACAACAATCATATGCTATCAAAGCATCCATGACACCATTACCCTCTCCAAAACCCTAAACCCTAACTTGCATATGGAAATGAAATTACAGAAATGCCCGCAGCAGCCGGCAGGTCAATTTATAATACCTGCGGTTGGGGTCGAAGAAATGGATCGATTGGTGAGGCATCCTGCATCTGATCGGACGGCGAAGGCTCCAGAGAATGATCAGAGGGCGGAGAGTCTTGAGGTGGGTTCTCCGCTTCCGTCGAGAACCGTCTCCCAAAATTGTGTGATACTGTTAAAAGGTTTGACGTGATTGCGGCGCAAAGAAGACCGAGCTTCGACCTTTTTGTTCTCTCTTTGCTTCCCCTCGAGCTTTAGAGATTCACAGTGGCGTCGGACTCTCTGTCTCTGTTCTACTGAGCACTAAGAGGGTGAGGATGGTGGTTGTCGTTTTGGAAAAGTGGAATTCGAGAAGTGCCCCGTAATTATAGCGAAATTATAAACTCTGCCCCTTGTAATTTATAGTAGACTGTTGCTTTTTTTTCATTATATTGGGTTTGAAATGTCTTGAGCTCGGCCTCAAACAATGAATAGTCTTCTATGAGCAGGTCCAAGTGAAGCTAAACAAGTGTACAATGTAGCCATAGGCATCGAGAGTACTATTTTTCTTTTTAACCAAGTGTTGCAGGGAAGAATAAATACATCATAGGACACCAACTGCAGAAGGGAATGTTCTTAATCTTTTAAATTACAAGCGGTTGCCACTATAAAATAATGATAGCCTTCGTTCAAAGGGATCCCTTTTTTTTAATATAAAAATGGGAACTAGTTGGTAGACCTACTCTACATTGAACTTCAACGATCCGAAACGTTTATTTTTCAGGTCTTCATTCATAGATCATTCTTGCAAAATGGTAATTTAATCTCGAAACCGTTTACCCTATTGATTGTCTTGATGAAATTTCAATGTTTCTTAGAACACAGTGTTTATCAATTTCTTTGACCTCAATTAGATACCTCAAACATTTCTGATTTTGCCAATTTTTTGCAAGGATGATTAATGAAGTGTAACTTGAAAAATACATCGTTTGGATCGCTAAAGTTAGATGTGAAATGGGGCCCATAACTGAACCATTTTTCCATCAAACAATGAAGACCCCTTTAGATAAGGGGCTTGATATAATAATATTACTTTTTTTTAACAATCTATATTATCTACACTAAGGAAAAGGAGGATGGACTTAACCTCACAATGAGCTACCAACCAATCTTGGTAGCAAGTTGGCACACCCTCATTCACAAGAAAGACATAGTTAACTCATAATTACTCGGTCTATGCTTCACATAGGCAGGTTTATAATGTTTAGGGTCAACAAACATACAACGACTATGGGTTCAATGATGTTTGATGGAATTAATTAGATTAGCTTTCCAAGTTGTGCGGTGAGACAGGGAGGAGACGGTACAGTGATCATATGTTTCTTTTTGGTGATATGGAGGAAGAGGAGGAGGATGAGGAAATGGTGGACCAACGACGATCGACTTGGATGATAAGGAGGAAGAGATTGCTAGGTGGTTTTAGAATGCGCGAGGACTTTATGAGATTATTCCATTATGCTTTAATATGGGACTTTATGAGATTTTAACAGCGCCGATGCTCTATTAGCTATAAGGACACATGTCAAAGAGTTCACAAAGACACACCGAAGGAGACAACCATTTTAAGACAACAAACCCGCGGCCGAGGGCAAAAACCTACTAGAGCTGCAGACTAATTTAATATTCCAATTCCTTGCTAGGACACAATAGGAGATGTGGACTACTTTTGGTCTCCTCGTAATCACTGGCTATAATTCAATCAAGATTATGTTATGTATGATCATATATAGTGTTTCGTATATGTGGAGCCAAAAATAATCCAAAAAATTATGAGGCTCACACGTGGACTTCTATTTGTAACTAACGACAATGCTCTTACTAAATTGGCGATGCCCACATTTATTCCACGTGCAACCCTCTTGAAGGGCTAAGCTGCTGACTACGGTCTCAAAAACTTCGTTGCTCATTGCAAGGAGAAAAATCAAAGGTATTAAAGATAGGGATAATAACCAAATATCTTTAAAACTTTCCTTATTGAAGACCAAATCTCAGGCAAGGAATAACAATCAAATCCACTCAGAGATTCCACGAGATAATTCCAAGACATTGTTAATTAAATAATATATTTGGGATAATTCTCTCCTCCATCCAACATAGGACACCTTGGCCAACTGGTCGCCTACGCATGGCGCAAGATCCCTTTCCCCATGGTCGGCCACATTTCCCTATAAATACCCAATTTCCACTAATTTTTGGTAAGCTTTTGCTATGTAATTATGCCTAAACTCTTTCTTTTTTCAAAGAAACTGACGTAGGCATCGAAGATCCATGGGCCGAACTCCCTCCCCTACTTTGTGCGCACGTGGCTTTTTTTTGGTGTCTTTGATCAAATGTGTTTAATTATTTTATAGGTGCAAATTCATCAATACTAAAGATGGCGGATTTTTGCTACACAAATTGGTGCTTCATTAAGGTCCTGGTTTAATTCTTGAAGAAGTTCTTGCAATTCCTTTCAGAACTTCCCCCTTTTTAATTTTTCTAGGTGCTCCCAATCTTTAAATTTTAAATTCCTTGATTCACGTGACTAAAGGAAGGAAAATATGGCTGAAAATCCAAAAACCACAACAAACGATAAGCCCAACGTGCCTGGACATAAACTAGAGAAGGAGACCCTGAAGTAGCCTTGCATCATCACTCATCGCAGTTACAGCTGCTAGAGGCCCCTTGCCACCACAATGGACCACCTCAGCAATAGCCCAACCTACAAGCCCATATGCTGAGTTTGACACCCAATCCGTATTGGCCCAGCCCAAGCCACAACGTAGGCTTAGGCGCGACATGCCTGATAATACTCCAGTAGCCAAGGAGCAAGCCCAAGCCCAGTAAGCTCAGCGGGCAGCGCCTAACCCAACAGCTAACCAGACGGGTTGGCCTACATAGTAGCCTGTGCCTGCATCAGTGACCGCGCCTCTGAAATAGCTCTCGAGCTCCAAACTGGTTCGATCGAACTAGTTGGCTTAACCCGCGAATCGATGATTGAACTGGTGGATTTCTCGCCCTATTTTTCGGCGATTTGATCTATCTGAGCTTAAATATGATGTCCCTTGACCAACACCCTCGCGTAGCAGCCCCCTTTGGTGAATTAACTCATTGAGCACATTGAGACGTAGTGCACTCTAGATTAGGTGTTTTGAAGCATAATGAGGATGAATGAGGATATTTCTTTCCAACAACGCCCCAATAAGCATCTCCACCTACCGGCCTTTGGCTTGCTTACGGTTGTTTCTTCTTTTATAGGTACACGAATTTGAGCATCTCCACCTTCTAGTGTAAACTTGGTTCCAACAATTGTGATTCCTTACTTGATTGAGTTGATTTACAATTAGGTTAGTAATAAAGATAGGATTCAGTTATTAATCCTATCTTTAATGCCTTTGACTTTTCTCCTTTCCATGAACATGAGAGTTTGATGAGGTTGTAATCAGCTGAGCAGGCAAACTACGCCCATTCCCTTATGAGTAGCTTTAGGAAACTAAGGGTCCCCCCTTATATTCTCGCTCCATTCGCAAAGGTCAATTGCCGACGTCTCCGCGGGTATAATCATGCGGGCCTCACTAATTTAATGAAGGTATTTTTGTCTTCTTCAAGTAAAAGTCCATGCGTCAGGTTCATGATTTTTTAGATTATTTTTTGCGCCACACATATCTCACAGGCACCACATATTTCATCTTGAGTGTTGTTTATTTCTATCTGGAAGCTGAAACTTCAAACAAGACATCCTTTAGATTTGTCGTTTGTTGTGGATGTTATGACTTTTTCGGTTTCACACTCACACAGATGCACGTGTCTTATAACATGAACGAATTGGTAACCTTATGGTGTGATGGTCACACTGAGAAAATTTCTCCCTAATATGGAATATGTGGTCGGGCAATTATGTGATACTATGTCGCAACATGATATAATAAGGAGAATCAAACGACAATCCTTCGCCAGAAAACTAGCAACCCTAGAATTCACTAGGAAGAAAGAGAGTAAACTCACATTTGATTGATAATAAGCATTGTACGTTCCAAACATAAAACCAGACCCTAATGTTCAAATAGAAAATAAAACAAACAACTAACAAAGTTCTAAAACTATCCCTAAACTTATAACGCTTTTTTGGAATAGTAAATGAAGGATTTTAGCCAAAATTGCATCGTTCTCTTCAAAACAACATATTATAGGCTCTATTACGATACCGATGACCAGACCTGCATTCTGCCAGCCTTGCTGTCAGTTTTGTGTCTTCCGAGCTGCTCTTCGATCCGCTTTGCCATCTATTTTACATCATACTATTAAAGGGTTTTCGTTTTAGATGTTTAGTTTAAGTTCCGAAGTAACTTATCATTTCAAAGCTTGTTGGTAATTAATCCAAATTTGATCGCCAATAATATTTTACGCATTTGATTGTTATTTTTCCATGGCCCTTGCTAGTTTTTGTTTTTGGCTTTTTTTTTTTTTTTTTTTTTTTTTTTTGCATATTATCAGCTAGAGATTAGAGTACATGAGATATAACAATGCTCAAATGTTTGTAAAGCACTTTGGGATGACTGATGAGACTTAACTAATAAAGTAATTAGTGCTTTAATCTTTGAAAGATGGCCCATGTATTGTTTGAACTAAGAAGGGCATTTGTTTAATTGTTTTTCTAAAGTTAGCAGATAATTGTGGATGTCTACGTTAAAAATCACACTCCAGCAATTGGCAAAGGAAGGAAAGTGTGCCAAGCGAAGGTATGAATTGAATGGTAGGCCCTGCAGGTATAGAAAATAAGTCCACATCAACAACACCTTGAGTGTGAGAACAAGGAGGCATCGATAGATATGGATCGAATTTGATCTTCCGAGTCTTGGCTAGATGGGAGCTTACTCTCTGTGGTCCTCACATTTACTAGCTAGCCATCTCAAAATGCTTCAATTTCTACTTTTCTTTTCGGTCATTTGAACAAGGACAAAACTGAGGCTCAATGACCACATAAATCTTAGTTTACTCTTCATCAATTAGAAAACCATTTGAACCCTTCAAACACGTAAATCTTAGTTAAGTCATCATCAGGCAATCAACCAGTCGTTGATTCCAAAGAGTTACACCCAATTTGACTGTGAGGACAAAGACTAATTTGCTCTTCAAATTCCTTTGCTAGACACGGTGGGAGCTGTGGACTATTTTCGGTTTCCTCCCAAGTTATTGACTATAATTAAATCAAGATTATGTTCTATGTGATAAGATATATCGTGTATTTGTGTTTCGTATGCATTCGAGTAACAAAACTTGATTTCTAATTTCACAACCAAAAGAGAGAAAAAAAAAATTAAATAAATAAATAAGAGTTTCTTATTTGCGATCTGTATTTTGGTGAGGATGGAGCATGCATGTACTACTGGTGATCGGCTGAGTTTGGTTAAACTCTTTCATGGCTTCATTCTTTTATGCATGAGCACGCGTATGGGATCTGCAGCACTCTCCAGCGCTAGTCTTGGAAATGAAACCGATTGCATGGCGCTACTCGACTTCAAGAAAAGCATCACTCAAGATCCTCTCCATGTCATTAGCTCATGGAATGATTCCGTCCATTTCTGCGGTAGGGTAGGCGTTATGTGCACCCATTACACCAAAAGAGTCTTGATGTTGAACCTTCAAGATGAAAAATTGGCAGGCTCTTTACCTCCTTCTATAGGGAATATTTCCTATCTTACTAGAATCAACCTAGTAAGCAACAGCTTTCGTGGTGAAATTGTAGGAACTATACATGGTTAGTCTTCAACAAGGATCACAAACAACAATTTACATATAACATTACAAGAGTTGGCATTAAAAAAAAATTGACCATACCTGAGAACCCATCTGCCCAACAACAAAGACAGCAGCAACACCATCTGAAAAACCTGGTGCAGGCTGTGTTTACTGGTAATACATAAGAATTCTTCTACTTGTTTAAGACCTTATGTTCCAAAGGTGATAGAACCCTTAATCTCAGAACGATACTTCACAAGTAGGGAATTGGATTATATATATACACAGATTTCATCTGATTTCCATCTATCGTGGAAATCAGTTACTGCAGTTGTTGGTGTTAACCCAAGTCAATTTGCCGTTTCATCCACTCCATGATTTGATGCTCCACATGCAGTGCACTGTGCTTTACAGATTGGAATATGATTCCCACGTTAAGGATGTAATGATTATGCATAGTGGACAGCAAGGCCACTGCATGTGTATACTGACTGATGATTCATAGACAGCAAGGATGCAACTTCCAGTTGTTTTGTTTATTTGCATGCGTGTGTAGTAATCTATGAATAAAACTCTGCTGCAATTGCAGCAGATGATGATTAAAAGAAAGATAGTTTTATATATACTTATAATGTTAGTCAAGTCCAATTAGGTATCCAACATTCTCCCACATGGACACAAACTAACCATTATAATCAAAGTCATGCCTTTCACAACACTGATACCTCATGTGATCACATCAAGTTTCACGCATACTAACTTCCTTTCAACTACTATAATTAATTTAAATATTTGATTCCAGAAAATCATGTGTTTATAGACAACACAAGCACCCTGAAACCACAAATACTTAAAACTAATATGTAGAAAGAAACTTCAGACTTTTCAATGAATTTAAATTCCTTCATTCATTCAAAACAGTCATTTCATGGATCAACTTTGGAAGATCCTGATGCATTCATCGAATTGCATCCCTCGAATTATTCATGTCCAATTATCAAGACACTAGAATAGACATATACATGCATACAGTCAGCAACTCAGACAACCAATAGGCTCAACAAGCGCATATGATTCAGTAGGTCTTGATAGTGAACAACATAAATAACATTCGAAGACATATTTGAAATATACATGTGACTTACATCAAGTTTTTCTCACTCCCACACTTCAGCAGATTCTAGAGATTCAAGCACTCCCATCTTAGAGACATGATCCTTGAATACTCCTACTGCCAATGGCTTAGTCAAAGGGTCAGCTATCATTGAATTTGTTTCAATATGCTCAATCGTGATTTCACCCTTTCTCACATGTTCTTTCACTGATAGATATTTGATGTCCATCAACCTTGTTGCCTCAGACCTTTTGTTATTCTTAGAGAAAAATACTGCAGCTTTGTTATCGCAGTATATGGTTAGTGGTCTCGAAATTGAATCAACAATAGCCATGCAGCTGATTAAATTTCTTAACCACAAACCTCTCTTGGTAGCTTCAAAACATGCTATGAACTCGGCCTCCATAGTTGATGTGGCTAACGCCTTTTGTTTAGCACTTTTCCGTGATACAGCTGCTCCTGCCAAGAAAAACAAGTAGCCACTCGTGGATCTCCTGTCATCCACACAACCTGCAAAGTCAGCATCAGTGTAGCCAACTAGTTCCAAGTTCTCTACTTTCTTGTAAACCAACATAAAGGATTTTGTCCTTTGCAAGTATCTTAACACTTTCTTGGCTGCAACCCAATGTTGTTTACCGGCGTTCGACTGATATCTTCCCAACACACTGATGGCAAATGCCAAATCAGGTCTAGTGCAGACCTGTGCATACATCAAGCTACCTACTAGAGACGCATAAGGCTTATTGACCATGCTTTGTCTCTCAATTTCATTCCTCGGACATTGAGACTTATTCAACCTGTCTCCCTTTCCCTTAATTCTAGGAGATCAGTTATTGACATGGCCATGACTCCTAATTGGTTTGAACCCACGTTTAGGTATCCTTATCATGATATGTGTAAGTTCAAAACCTAACATGGTATAACTCCTAATTGGTTTGAACCCACGTTTAGGTATCCTTATCATGATATGTGTAAGTTCAAAACCTAACATTCTCCCACTTTTGAACTTCCACTTATCATGTTCCTTGTCCAACGTATTAAGCCAATCCCTTTGTGATCACTCAAGTCATGTCACATACTTTTATATGTTTAATAGAAGGGCAAAGCTTATTGTTAATCACTATTTATAGTATCTTGTGTTTAAGCAATAAGGGAATCCAAGGAATGTATTTGATCTAAGAGACAAGTGATTTAAGTTAGTTAAATTAACGAGACCTTTCTCTTATGTTCATTCCTAAAACGTTCCTAGCCATAGGATTGCCAATTGGGCATTGACAATCCGCTAAGGTTAGTATGTGTTATGTCGACTCAAGCGTGAGTATGAACTAGTCTCAAGTCATTTGGTGTTGGACACTAAGACAAACACATAGGTGCTCGAAAGAGTAATCGAGTACACTGAACAACGATCAAACAAGAGTTCGAACATACATGTCATGTGAGAACTCAATAGTTGCAATATGCAAAGTAGTCCTTTGACCTGAGGCATCATTGATGTCTAATGGTTAGGTCCTTGATCTTTGATTATGTCAACGGCATTCCATTGGAGTGTCCACGGCATTGTTGGGGTCAAGCTATCTAGTCATGTAGGCATATGAATGTACAACAAGGGATCTCTAACCTTCCATGATGGAAGGAGAATACTCTAAGATATGATTTGAGAGTCTTTGGCCAAAGCATATGAATATGACTAAGGAAGATGTTCCAAATCTTATTCAATTGAATCATATAAAGAAGTATCACATTGGATAGTAGACATGAAACAAACTATCACTTAAACAATGTGATTAAGAGTATTGTATTAGAGAAGGACCGTATTGCATTGTAGTTGTAACTGGATAGGTTCTCCAACCATTTCTACTTAGCTTGGGTAACCATGACATGCTGCTAGGCGTCACCCATGGTTTGTGGAAGCCCTAAAGATTAGCAAACACTAATTTAAGGGAGAATTGAAACGTGGTTTCAATTCACAATCGATCGTTAAGAGTAACATCGCCCACTACCTCGCTAATTGGAACCTAATGGATCGTACACCGAGTAAAGATATAAGTGAAGAAATTATATGAAATGGATAAGCAATTAAATGGTTTAATTGAAGAATGGTCAAGATTAATTAAATAGTTAATTAATTATACGAAACGTTCGTATTGGGCGTTTAAGTTAGTTTTGGGCTTCGGGGCACAAAAACGTTTTGGTCCACAAGGCCCATTATGTTTAAGTTGTATGACAACTAAAACAAAATGGGCAATTAAGCCCAAATACAACATATGGCCGGCCATAAGCTTCAAGGGTAGTGAACTTGGCTTAATTGCAAGTTTGCCACTCCATTGTGATGTGGTATAAAGACATCTTTATAGCCATTTCATCCTTAGGGTTTTTCTAATTGAATTTGGGTGAAACCTATTCTCTCATTTCACCTTAGGGGAGGAACATCTAGCAATCTTTCTTCCCTAAGTCATCCATTTCATCTTCACACAACATCTTTGGTGTGGAGACTTAGAGACACCAAACTTTTGGTGTTTTGGAGAACAAATCCTCAAATCCTCAAAGAAGAAAAGGAGCACTAAAAGGGAGGAAATCACAAGGAAGATTCAAGGAGCAAGGAGGTGACTTGAATGCCCTCCACTTGGGTGAATCCCTTGTGCAATCAAGGATGAGCTTCAAGGGTAAAGAATCTCTAAATTCTTATTCTCTTTAATTTTGTTAAAGAGTCTTATGGTTCACCATATACTAGGCTTTGAAAGTCATGGGTTTTATGAATTGTTTTTTAATGCATGCCTACTTTAAAGAGTTATTAGTTTGCATATGTATTCAAATGTTCTTACATGTTCTTAGCTAGGACAAAAATTTTCCTTCAAACCATACAACAACTCACATCTGCCATGAATAGCTTCAAAAGTTGAACCCCAGAAAATTAGTACTTCATAATTTGTACTAACACTCTGAAATCACATCCCCCAAAACTACTCATGCATGATATTAACAGAGCAAACAAACATATTTAACATGTCTATTATTTACACTCCCACTGATCAAACCAAACATCATTGTCAAGCCATTGTTTGGCTCCAATGATAAGCCTTTTACAATAACCAGCTCATTAAACCTCGGTTTGATTAGTAATTCATCATTTCAAACATTGCATATATATATGAAACAACATCAAATATGATACAATCATATTCGATCCTTTATCAAACTCCAATGAGTTTGCCTAATGCTTCCAACTGAGCCTCAATTCTGCCTTATGCAGATAAACTAGTCATTGAGTGAATAACCATGACATGCAATTTTATGTAACACCTTTGGGCAAGAGACATAAAATATCAATTATGCAATCTTAATCATGCATCCTTATTTGCAGAGCTATTTCACAAAAATTTCAAGTTACAACTCAAATCATGTCTTTGGACAAGGGATCAAAGTTGACTTTAAACTTTTATAAAATACTACACACTACATCACTGTTCAAGCCATTCACTATTTCTTTCTTTTGAAAGATTGGTCTTATGCAATGAATTGTCACTCACAAAATTCAATTAATAATCCCTTGAACAAAATTTCCTAATAATTCCCACTTTGGTGAAGATTTATTCAAACATTTGTTCAAGTATAGAGATTATTAGTGTTGAAAACCTGCATAAAACTTTAGCATTTCAATTTGATTGTAGAAATCATCCAAACGTCAAATGAAAAACCAATTTTCTACACAAGTAAGTTATAATTATAGATTATTTTCACATGTATCAGGAACCTTGCAACCTACCAGCCATATTCAAGTTCAACATAAATTTACTAAGCTACAATCTACACCAATGCCTATTGCCAATACATATTTAGATATCAAAAAATTGATTTCAATCATATACCAGATTTCAATCAGATATCGATCATCGTTTGTGAATCTGAAACAACCATGACTACCAATTCTAGAATGATAAAAGCGCAGCTTACAGTGTTTTAATCTCCAAACCATATATTCCTTTTCCTGCTGTGAATAAAACTTTGGCAGCAGCATATGGCATTAGAACAATTAATCATGCTATAGAAAAACTGTAGCAATCATCATACGAATTTTATACATGCATAAAGCATTAGGATTTCTTATCACAATAAACAAATAGCACAGGTTCATAGCCGAGGTAGAAGACATGGAAAAATCGTTGAAATGCATGCTTATAACATACCTTTAGTTAAAACTATAAGCAACCATTCATTCTTTATTGTACACCCACCATTACAAGATCTTTTCATGCAATTATATCAAGTATATGGCAGCACCATCTGCTGTCTTCTGACAGCACGCATGGGAAAGACTTGTGTAACACACATGGGAAAGAAGTCTGAAGGTTATACTTTAACATTAACAACATGGGAATGCTTCTGACAGCACACATGGGAAAGAATGAAAGCATTAGAGTGATACCTCAGCATCTGCTTCTGCCCGCATAACACAGCAGCGGCACAATCTCAAAACGTGAAGATTCCCAGTCCTTAAATCTATCCTGATACGCCAGTTGAAATCATCTGGAAAACTGTAAGGACTATCTTAAGAAGACATGGAAAACTTGAAACAATCATTATTGATTGTTAAATGCTTGTTTATATCACACCTTTGGGCAAGAGATATAAACTGACATTGACCTTCATTGTATAGCCATCATTCAAGGATCTTATCATGCAATTATTACAAGTCTTTGGACAAGAATATGGCATGATCTACATGATGCCATACACTGATTAAAACCACCAACAATTTATACATCCCCTTCTTTGGAAAAGAATGTGAACATTTCTTGAGTTTTAAACCACAACCATTCTTCCTTTACTGCAATCGAACAATTTTCTTAATTGTTCTTAACATTTACTGCAAACCAAACTGTTAGTATAGTAGCCAAAAAAAAAAAAAAAAAAAAAAGGATAAAACTCAAAGTGATATAGTTCCAACAATATACGGATCATTATATTGATCACAACAGAAATAGATGAAAAATGTATTCTCAGTGCAGCCAAACACGCTGCATATGCAGATCATAAAGCCACTTCATCTTCCAATTTTAAATAAATGGGATATAATCATACTAATAAACTAATGAAAAACATCATTTGATTAGTCACGTCCCAGAGCATGCACTCAATCTGTTGTTTAACGAGGAAACTTTACCAGAAGAATCACAGCAGCAGATAGCACACACACTGCAGTATAATTTTACCAAGATACATTCTCGCAATGTTCATTTACACACCATCAATTAGTGCATGAAAATAGTTTAGTTTCAACTTTACTTGCATGCACCCAAGGAGATCAAGGAAGAAAATTGAAATAAATAAAAAAAAATACGCATGCTTATGAAGAGAAAAATTTACAAGCATCCAACATTGCACAAAAACAAACCACTCAAAATTTCCCTTCTTTGTAGAATTTGCCTAATTCTGTGTCTTTTCAACCAAGATGAACGCCACATGCAGGTTCTCTAAGCAGAGATTGGGTTTCACAAGTTTGGTGACCTAATCATCTTTTTACTTGTACTTGCATATATAAACAATCAAGAAACATTACAGGAACTTGTAATTAGGAATTAGGCAACAATATATCGAGGCAACCATGAACCAAGAAATCAAAATAGTCATAAATAAATGCCTCAAAATAATAAATGAAACCATCATTAACCAAGGTAGCCTCGATGTAGGGAATTAGATGTTGTCATGAATCAAGGCAACAATCACCGATGCTAACATTAGGGGCTAGGTTGAGGCAATTTTCTTCCCCGTACAGCAAATATTCCCAGTTAATGATATAGGTATAAATGTTAAGATAATTAAGTTTGAATCCAAGTAGACTAACCATAGCTTTGATACCAAATGTAGGAACTATACATGGTTAGTCTTCAACAAGGATCACAAACAACAATTTACATATAACATTACAAGAGTTGGCATTAAAAAAAAATTGACCATACCTGAGAACCCATCTGCCCAGCAACAAAGACAGCAGCAACACCATCTGAAAAACCTGGTGCAGGCTGTGTTTACTGGTAATACATAAGAATTCTTCTACTTGTTTAAGACCTTATGTTCCAAAGGTGATAGAACCCTTAATCTCAGAACGATACTTCACAAGTAGGGAATTGGATTATATATATACACAGATTTCATCTGATTTCCATCTATCGTGGAAATCAGTTACTGCAGTTGTTGGTGTTAACCCAAGTCAATCTGCCGTTTCATCCACTCCATGATTTGATGCTCCACATGCAGTGCACTGTGCTTTACAGATTGGAATATGGTTCCCACGTTAAGGATGTAATGATTATGCATAGTGGACAGCAAGGCCACTGCATGTGTATACTGACTGATGATTCATAGACAGCAAGGATGCAACTTCCAGTTGTTTTGTTTATTTGCATGCGTGTGTAGTAATCTATGAATAAAACTCTGCTGCAATTGCAGCAGATGATGATTAAAAGAAAGATAGTTTTATATATACTTATAATGTTAGTCAAGTCCAATTAGGTATCCAACAGAAATTCCTGAAGAAATTGGTCGTCTGCAAAGCTTGCACATTCTCAACTTGCCTCACAGTTCCTTCAGCGGGAAAATTCCAACCAATTTGTCCCAGTGCAAACAATTGTGTGATACTGTGACGACAATCCTTATCTAGAAAACAATTAGCAACCTAGAATTCACTAGGAAGAACGAGAGAGTAAACTCACGTTCGATTGATAATAAGCATCAATCCTTACACCAATAAGATGTATTTATATGTTCAAAACATAAAACCAAACCCTAATGTTCAAATAGGAAATAAAACAAACAATTAACAAAATTCTAAAAGTATCCCTAAAACTTAAAACACTGTTTTGGAATAGTAAACGATGGATTTTTGCAAAAATTGCATTGTTCTCTTCAAAACGACATATTATAGGCTCTACTACAATATTGATGACGAGACTTGCATTTTGCCAGCCTTACAATCAGTTGTGCATCTTCCGAGCTACTCTTCAATGATTGAGTTTAAGTTCGAACGTAAGTTATCATTTCAAAGCTTATTGGTAATTAATCCATATTTGATCGCCAATAATCTTTTACAAATTTGATTGTCGCTTTTCCATGGCCCTTGCTAGTTTTTGGCAGATTAGCAGCTAGAGACTAGAGTACCTGAGATATAACAATGCTTAAATGTTTGTAAACCACTTGGGGATCACTGATGAGATTTAACTAATAAAGTAATTAGTGCTTTAATCGTTGAAGGGCATTTTAAAAAAAAATTATATTTCTAAAGTTAACAGATAATTGTGGATGTCTACGTTAAATTCACACTCCAGCAATTGGCAAAGGAAGAAAAGTGTGCCATGCTAAGGTATGAATTGAGTGGTAGGCCCTGCTGGTATAGAAAATAAGTATGAGTCCAAATTAACAAACATCTTGAATGTGAGAACAATTAGCCATCGACAGATGTGGATTGAGGGGATGTTTGGAACTGTTTTTGGAAGACTAATAACATTTTATGACAATTAGAAGCGTTTCTGATTAAATAAAATACATTTGACTCATAGAAATACTTCGTAAAAAGGTGCTTGTTCAAGAAATGCTTCGAAGTAAATTATAAAAGCAATTGAATTTAAATAAATAAAAAATTGAACTTTTTCTAATGAAAGTACTTTTAGTAAAAGTCTTTGTGAGTAGAAGTGTTTCTTACAAAAACAATCCTGAAAGGAAAAACTTATGAGTAACGGGGACACTGCTTCCAACATCCCTAAAAGGTGCATTTGGAACTTGTAAGTCCAAAATGCTTCAAGTTCTACTTTTCCCTGTACTTTTCTTTTGGGTCATTTGAACAAGGACAAAACTGAGGCTCAATGAACACGTAAATCTTAGTTAAGTCTTCATCAAGCAACAATCACTCGTTGATTCCAGAGAGGTAGGGTCTGTAATTATGCCCAATTGCACTGCGAGGACAAAGACCTAGGAGCTGCAGACTATTTTCGGTCTCCTCACAATCACTGGCTATAATTCAATCAAGATTATGTTCTATGTGATAAGATATATCGTGTATTTGTGTTTCGTATGCATTCCTGTAAACGAAGCTTGATTTCTAATTTCACAGCCAAAAGAGAGGAAAAAACAGAGTTCATTATTTGCCATCTGTATTTTGGTGAGGATGGAGCATGCACGTACTACTGGAGGCAGGCTGAGTTTGGTTAAACTCTTTCATGGCTTCATACTTCTATGCGTGAGCACGCGTATGGGATCTGCAGCACTCTCGAGCACTAGTCTTGGAAATGAAACCGATCGCATGGCGCTACTCATCTTCAAGAAAAGCATCACTCAAGATCCTCTCCATGTCATGAACTCATGGAATGAATCCGTCCATTTCTGCGGTTGGGTAGGCGTTACGTGCAACCATTACACCAAAAGAGTCTTCATGTTGAACCTGCAAGATAAAAAATTGACAGGCACTTTACCTCCTTCTATAGGAAATCTTTCCTATCTTACTAGAATCAACCTAGGAAGCAACAGCTTTCGTGGTGAGATTCCTCAAGAAATTGGTCGTCTGCAAAGCTTGCACTTTCTCAACTTGTCTCACAATTCCTTCAGTGGGAAAATGCCAACCAATTTATCCCAGTGTACACAACTAAAGACGATTGAGTTTCGTTACAATGAGCTTATTGGGTCAATTCCAAACCAACTCAGTTCCTTGTTGAAATTAAATCATATGGGGTTTGGTAATAACAATCTCACTGGAATCATCCCGACTTGGATAGGAAACTTTTCTTCTCTGCATCACTTTGATCTTAGCTATAACAACTTGCGAGGAAGCATACCCAATGAGCTCGGGCGGCTAACAAGATTGCGAAGATTCACACTTCAAGAAGACAATCTCTCTGGTATAATCCCTGCTTCAATCTATAATATTTCTTCCATATCCTTGTTTGGTGTTATTCTAAACCAACTGCATGGAGAGCTACCGCCAAATGTCGGCACTACTCTTCCTAATCTCCAAAAATTTGTCGGTGGCGGCAACAAATTCACAGGAAATATTCCCGCATCATTGGCAAATGCTTCTAGACTACAAGTTTTTGACTTTGCTAAAAATGACCTTACTGGAACAATTCCTGCTAATCTTGGATCCTTACGAAGCTTAGTTAGGCTAGGCCTTAATAGCAATAGGCTGGGAAGTGGGAAAACTGGCGACCTGAATTTTCTCAAATTTTTGGCTAATTGTACTAGTCTTGAGTGGTTGAATCTTTACAAAAATCAATTTGGAGGAAAATTGCCCGTATCCATTTCCAACCTTTCTACCACACTAAGAAATCTTTATCTGGGGGAAAATTTGATACATGGAAGCATCCCCTTGGGTATTGAAAATCTTGTAAATTTGGCCAATATTGAAATGGAGAATAATGATTTCAGTGGTAGTCTCCCTAAAGAAATTGGGAAGCTTCAGAAATTGGAAGACTTATGTTTGGGCGACAACAATTTTTCTGGACCAATCCCATCATCTCTAGGTAACTTGACTTTATTGACAGAACTCTATCTATACAACAATAGATTTGCTGGAAACATACCACCAAGTCTAGGAGATTGCCAACATCTACTAGCACTTGACCTTTCTGGAAACAATCTTACAGGCACCATACCTACAGAGATTTTTAGGCTTTCATCCCTTTCAATTTATTTGGTAATGTCAGACAACAAGTTGACAGGTCCAGTGCCATCTGAAGTTGGTCTTTTGGTAAATCTAGTAGAGCTAAATTTATCAAGAAACAATTTATCAGCTGAAATTCCTCCAAGCATTGGAAGTTGTATTATGTTGGTGCGTTTGTATTTGGGAGGTAATGAGTTTCAAGGAATAATTCCTCAATCTCTTAAAAGTTTAAGAAGCCTGGAAGAGATGGATCTTTCACGCAATAACTTATTCGGGCATATTCCTGAATTTCTAACCAAGTATAGATTTCTTAGGCATCTCAACCTTTCATATAACAATTTTGAGGGTAAAGTGCCTGAAGAAGGAATCTTTTCAAATGCAACTGCTCTCTCAATTCTTGGAAATCCTAAGCTCTGTGGTGGCAGCTCGAAATTACATTTACCTGCTTGCCCCAACATAAAGCCTCATTCATCTCGAGGACTACTTGCCCGAAAAGTAATCATCCTAGTAGCTTGTGCACTTGCCTTCATAATTGCTATGTCTTGCTTCATTGTTGCTTGCTCAATGCTTAAAAAGCGAAGAGGTATACCTACAACTTCATGTTCTTATAAAGATTGGAAATCAGGAGTCTCTTACTCAGAACTTGTTGAATCAACTAACGGGTTCTCTAGGGAAAATCTGATTGGTTCAGGAAGTTTTGGTTCTGTTTACAAAGGAGTAGCCCCCGGTGATGGAACTCTAGTTGCAGTAAAGGTATTAAACCTTCAACAACAAGGAGCATCCAAGAGTTTTATGGATGAATGCAAAGCTTTGAGAAGCATAAGACACCGTAATCTTCTCAAGGTCATAACTGTATGCTCAAGCATTGACAATCAGGGTCAAGATTTCAAAAGTCTAGTTTTTGAGTACATGGTGAATGGAAGCCTAGATATGTGGTTGCATCCGAGACATGATGAGCAATCTCAAAGCAAGAGATTGAGCCTTATCCAAAGACTCAATATTGCAATTGATGTTGCTTTAGCATTGGATTATCTCCACCACCGTTGTGAAACTTCAATTGTTCATTGTGATATGAAGCCAAGTAATGTTCTTCTTGACGAAGATATGGTAGCTCACGTTGGTGACTTTGGTTTAGCAAGGTTCCTCTTGGAAGAGTCTGATGATCCATCTCAAAGTCAAACCATGTCAACCGGGTTAAAGGGTTCGATAGGTTACATTCCTCCAGGTATGAGTTTCTATCACTTCCAGTGTTTTCTCTTCCTAATAACTTATCACTAGGTCAAATTAAGTCCTAATGTAAGTATTGAATGGCAGAGTATGGCATGGGAGGTCAAGTTTCCATCTTTGGAGATATTTATAGCTTTGGAATATTGTTGCTAGAAATATTCACAGGAAGAAAACCTACAGATGACATGTTCAACGATGGTCAAAGCATTCGCCAGTTCGCTACCATAGCAATGCCTGACAATGCCATGGACATAGTTGACCCTTCATTGCTCATTGAATGTGGAGATGTAGATGGCAGCCGACTTGAAGCAAGAAGGTTGAAGGAATGCTCAGTTGCAGTCATTCAAATTGGACTCTCTTGCTCTGCAATATCACCGCCAGAGCGGATGCTTATGGATGTTGTTGTCAACAAATTGAAGAAAATTAGAGAATCATATCTCAATTAAGAGGTACATGCTAGAAATATAAATGTGAGTCCCGTTCTCGTAGACACTGTTGTACAAGAAAATTGTGATTAACCACCTTTCGATCTTAATCCAACAATGGAGGACTTAAGATCAAATGGTGGGTGACCACAATTTTTTTCAACCACAGGATCTAGGATAACAGGACTGATAAATGTGAGGTTAAGTTTGTTGTAAAATTAACGTTGTCTCATGTTTGTGTGCAAGAAATCATTTGAATAAGGATATTATATGTATCAAATTTGTGTGACATCATGTAAGGTTGAACTCAGCATTTCATATAGTAGAATAAGGAAAGAATGTTTCATTTGTTAATGGTTAATTTTCAATGAAGTCTATGACTCTGTTATCTTCATCCCGAGTTCACTGATGCAAATCAATAAAGTGTATTGGATTACATTCAAATATTGATGGCATATACTTGACATAGGGGAAATAATAACTCCAAAATACGAGGAATCGATCTGCATATGAACATATGGAGCCTGTTTCTGTTCGATCAATAGACTCAATACATATGCCAGCCTCAGTTACTCACTTTCTTGCGAAGGCTCATGCAAACATACTAAAACAAAAATTCACTAGGTTGCCACATAATAGTTCCAGCGATTCTGTTTTCACAAAGAAGCAACTGTATCCAGGTAATATTTATGTGTTATCCAGATCAAAAAACCCTACTTAAACAGAAGAATTTGAATTCATTAGGTTCAGCCTTGAAAGCCGAATATATGGCACTCCCAGGATGAAAACGTTATCAGTGTTTTAAGGCATCAATCCTGTCTTACTACTTAGTCCATTCCACAAAGCAAGCAATTTTGTTGCATGAAGACCAACTCCGAACATGACCAACTTGATCAAACATTTCATTAAAAAAATAATTAGCATACAATAGAAAACCTTGACTTACACTTTTTCCATCATAGGAAGGAAGATTGTCCCACTGCAATCGGTTAGCCTGTCATTCACAAACCCAGAATCAGCACACTACAACACAAAATAGGCGCACAACAATCATATCCTATCATAAAATCCATGACACCATTACCCTCTCCAATTTATACAGGGGCCCATCCTGGAAATCACCTTAGCTGCATTACAAAAGCTTTCCATGACTGGAACTGCACTACCCTAACAACCAAAATGCATACCCAAATCATCAACCAAACAATTTTGCAGCATCTAATCAGATTTATCTATTGCATTGCATAACAAATTATCAATTAATAGAGAATACGCAATTTACATTCCCATCGGCGTGAAGGCTCGACTGTAATCAAGTTTAACATCCTCCAGTCTCAAATTACAGCCTTCCAGCATATTCACGACATCGGTCTTCAGCGTATTCCTCGAGATTCCGAGCAGCTTCCCATACGCCAAACCTGAAAATATCATATATACACATTACCACATTCACCATTTGAAATTAATCACAAAAACCGTAAACCCTAACTTATGGAAATGAAAAATGTCTGCGGCAGTCGGCAGGTCAGTTTATTATACCTGATGTTGGTGTTCAAGAAATGGATCGATCGGTGTGAGGCGTCGTGCATCTGATCGGAAGGCGAAGGCTCCCGAGGCTGATCAGACGGCGGAGTCTTGAGTTAGGTTCTCCGCTTTCGTCGAGAACCGTCTCGCCGGTTCGCAGAGGACCGAAGGGAGGGTACGGTTCTGCGCCACGGCCATACGGGCGGCGACGTTGGACGTGATTGTAGCACGACAGAGACCGAGCTTCCACATTTTGTTCTTTGGTGGTTGACTGGTTGTCGTGTTGAAAAAGAGGAATTTGAGAAGTGCCCGTAATTGTAGCGAAATTATAAATTTTGCCCCTGGTAAGCTAATAGTGGGCTGTTGCTTTTCCTTCATTATATTAAGCTTGGGGAAAGCCAGGTTTGAGCTGTCTTAAGCTTAGCCCAAAAGAATGAATAGTCTTCTATGAGAAGGCGCAAGTGAAGCTAAACAAGTACAATGTATGGAAATTCTATCATGCGGACTCTAACGGTGCACGTAATAAATAAATAAATTTTGTATGTTCGTCGAAGTAACCATAGGCATCGAGAGTACTATTTTTCTTTTTACTCAAGTGTTGCGAGAGAATAAATGCATTATAAAACACCAAGTGCAAAAGTGAATATTCTTAATCATTTGAATTACAAGGCCGTTGCAACTGTATAATACTTGAATTGTTCGCTTATAATGAGACTAAATGCCACTAAAGCCTCGTTTGGCACGTTGTATATGACCATCGGATAATACTAATAATACAAAATCGGTGTTTAGTAAATTTTGTATTAAGAGCAGTTCCATCATTGCTAAGGCCTCCCGGGCTATTCACTATTTAATCCACTCAGTGAACAGTAACTACTCTTAATGAGTAGTAACTACCATTTGCATCTCCATCCCTACACTGACTGAATAGCCATAGCAATAGGCAATAAAATATTAGTAATTTTTTTAAATAATACAAAATAATTTTATTTATAATTTCGGATATGATTTTTAATCGGTTTTGTTGTACCACTTTCTATTAATTAAATATTAAAAAAAAAACCAAAAAACCAAAAAAAACCACCCACACCCAAATCCCTCCCCCCGGCCCAAAGCACCTAAACCTTCCTTCACCACCTCACTGCCGCCTCTCTTCCTCCATCTTCACCATCCCAACCAACTCAGCCCCCATCAACGGTCCCGATCTTCCTCGCTCCCTAGCCAAACTCTCTCTCTCTCTCTCTCTCTCTCTTCGCCCCCCCCCCCCAAAAAACAAATCCCAAATCGTGCGATCTGGGCGCGCGAGTAGAAGGAGGGGGATCGCGATCTGGGTTTTACATTTTTTTAATTTTTTAAATTTTTTTTTACTTTTTTTATTATTTTTTTACATTTTATTAATATTTTATATTTTTATTAATTTTATATTATGGCTGACGTCGCCCTGACGTCAGCCTTTTGTCACATTGCCTTCAGGCTCTCGGGCTGGCAACTCATGACGGGCCTCTTCCATGGGCCCGCTTGGACTCCATCGCCATCACATGCTAGACAACTCCCTCTAGCTATTTGCCCTGTTCCAAAGCCAGTCCACTAGGCAATAGCCCACGGTGAAACTACTCTAATAAGCACTGGATTATTTAATCTGGCCCCATCATTTTAATACCACTCACACCCGCTTAATTATTCACTCCAAAATCTTGGTATTATTAGTCGGACTTTGCCAAGGAAGAATCATGCCCATTTTTCTCCAACCTGTATCGCCATCTGCTCTTAGGCATCGCAACCTCTGATCAGCAGATAGGAAAATAGATCCAAAGAGATGTCAGATCGAACAATTCACACCAAGCTGATGCGAACAGAGTACCAAAGGTAGCTGAAGTAAATTTAGAACCTAAAATTTGAGTTTTACGTTTGGAGTATGTCGATGGGACTCAGCATCGACAAACTCCTTTGCTATGACGCTTTAACGAGACCCCAAATAACCGTGGGACAACCATGCCCTCCCTCCGCTTCCTTTGCTCTCTGCTATCTAACAAAATCACACCACCAAACCACTCTCACTCTCCCCTCGTCCTGCTCGACTGCAACAGTGTCTCTTTTAGTCAGCAAAATCATATCCAGCATCTGTGTTGTTTGCTCTCTGCCACTGGTTCAAAGGAAGACGAGGATGTTCCTGTGCCAGAGGAACGGTGGGAATCCTGCCCAGGCTTTGATGTTCTTGTTGATGGAAAATCAAACAAGTTGGGTTGTGACGTTGATCAGGAGTGCTTTCCAACACTTCACGAGGAGCACAGGGAGCTGAATAGCCGTTTCCTGTGCCATTTGAATTACATGACCTTGCAATTATATAATATTGGCTTAATTAGATGAATAGTTCCGTGATGATATGGTAGTTGAAAGATAGCCTCTATGGTGTGTTAGAGTATATAACAGAATCCTTTAGATTGTGACATCTGTCAATATTAGAGTGTGTTTAGATTACTAGAGTTTGTTAGTCCTAACCGTAAAGATTAGGATACAATTGAGCTTGTTGTAAGAAGATAAGACTATATAAGTCTGAAAAGAGTGAAATTGACTATTAAGAAAATATACGATAAAAGTGCTTTCTTCCTCTCTGAGTATCTCCTTCTTCTTTCTTCTTAGTTCTTCATGTTTCTACACCATGTTTGACATCGTGTGGCTCACGTTGGTGACTTTGGTTTAGCAAGGTTCCTCTTGGAGGCGTCTGATGATCCCTCTCAAAGTCAAACCCTATCAACCGGGTTAAAAGGTTCAATAGGCTACATTCCTCCAGGTATGAGTTTCTGTCACTTCTAGTGTTTCTCTTCCTAATAACATATCACTAGGCCAAATTCAGTAATGATGTCTCTGTTGAATGGCAGAGTATGGCATGGGAGGCCAAGTTTCCATCTTTGGAGATATTTACAGCTTTGGAATATTGTTGCTAGAAATATTCATAGGAAGAAAACCTACAGATGACATCTTCAAAGATGGTCCAAGCATTCACCAGTTCGCGACCATGGCAATGCCTGACCATGCCATGGACATAGTTGACCCTTCATTGCTGGTTCAATGTGAAGATGCACATGGTGATCGAATCCTAGTTCAGGCAAAAAGGTTGGAGGAATGCTCAGTTTCAGTGATGCAAATTGGACTCTCATGCTCTGCCATACCACCGTCAGAGCGGATGCTTATGGATGTTGTTGTCAACAAATTGAAGAAAATTAGAGAATCATATCTCAATTTAAGAGGTAGAGGCTAGAAATATAAATGTGAGTCTCGTTCTCCTAGACATCATGGTGCAAGAAAATAGTGGTCAACCACAGTTTGATCTTAATCCAACGATGGAGGACTTAAGATTGAATGCTAGGTGACCACAATTTTCTTTGACCACGAGTTCTAGGATAACGGGACTGATAAATGTTATCCAGGTAATATTTACATGTTATCCAGATTAAAAACCCTACTTAAACGGAAGAATTTGAATTCTTTAGGTTCAGCCTTGAAAGCCAAACATTTGGCACTCTCAGGATGAATATATCAGTGTTTTAAGGCATCAATCCTGTCTTACTACTTGGTCCATTCCACAAAGCAAGCAATTTTGTTGCATGAAGAGTCATTCCGAACACGACCAACTTGATCAAACATTTCATTAAAAACAATAACAAGTATGCAAAAGAAAACGTTGACTTACAGTTTTTCCATCATGGGAAGTAAGATTGTCCCACTGCGATCGGTTAGCCTGTCATTCACAAACCCAGAATCAGCACACTACGACACAAAATAGGCGCACAACAATCATATCCCATCAAAGAATCCATGACAGCATTACCCTCTCCAATTTATACAGGCGGCCCTTCCTGGAAATCACCCTAGTTGCATTGTCAAAAGCTTTCCATGACTGGAACTGCACTACCTTAACAACCAAAATGCACACCCAAATCATCAACCAAACAATTTTGTAGCATCTAAACAAACTTATCTATTGCATTGCATAACAAATTATCAATTTACTGGAAAATAAACAAAATATAGAATACGCAATTTACATTCCCATCGGCGTGGAGGCTCGATTTTAATCAACTTTAACATCCTCCATCTTCAAATTACAGCCTTCCAGCATATTCACGATATCGGTCTTCACGTTTTCCTCGAGATTCCGTGCAGCTTCCCATATGCCAAACCTCAAAATATCATATATACACATTACCACATTCACCATTAGAAATTAATCCCAAAAACCGTAAACGCTAACTTGCTTATGGGAATCAGAAATGTCTGCGGCATTCGGCAGGTCAGTTCATTATACCTGCTGTTGGGGTTCGAAGAAATGGATCGATCGGTGTGAGGCGTCGTGCATCTGATCGGACGGCGGAGTCTTGAGGTGGCTTCTCCGCTTCCGTCGAGAACTGTCTCGCCGGTTCGTAGAGGACCGAAGGGAGGGTGCGGTTCTGTGCCACGGCCATACGGGCGGCGACGTTGGAAATGATTGCAGCACGAAGAAGACCGAGCTTCCACATTTTTGTTCCATGGTGGTTGTCGTTTTGAAAAAGAGGAAATTGAGAAGTGCCCGTAATTGTAGGGAAATTATAAATTTTGCCCATGGCAAGCTAATAGTGGGCTGTTGCTCTTCTTCCATTTATATTAGGCTTGAGGAAAGCCCAGGTTTGAAATGTCTTAAGCTCAGCCCTAAAGAATGAATAGTCTTCTTTGAGAAGGCCCAAGTGAAGCTAAACAAGTATACAATGTACGGAAATTTTATCCTGCGTACTCTAAAGTTGCACGAAATAAATAAACAAATAAATTTTGTATGTTCGTCGGAGTAACCATATGTATCGAGAGTACTATTTTTCTTTATATCCAAGTGTTGCGGGGAAGAATAAATACATTATAAAACACTAAGTGCAAAAGTGAATGTTCTAAACCATTTGAATTACAAGGCCATTACAACTTTATAATATTACTTGAATTGTTCGGGTTGAAGAGACTAATACTTGAACTTATGTGCTTCTTCTGTTCTTCACAACTTCAATCAAGTGCAAATGTATTCGCAAGTTCTGATGGAATGTCTCTTGGTATCCATACAAACAGCAATATCGAATAAAACCACCAACAAATTATATTCGATTATTTCTGGATTTCTCTTTTTTTTTCTTCGAATTCTCTCGCGATTAGTGATATATCAAACTTAAATAAAGATTGCTTCAATATTATATAAATATTGGACAAGATTTCATGACATTCAAATCTAATACTATTAAATTGTACATTTTAATAGAAAAAATATATTAATATCATTTAATTTGAACATTAGTGTATTGCCATCACGTTCAAGTATAATAGAATTAAGGTGCGTTTGTTTACCCTTCATTAAATTTCACTAGACTAGACTACACTATGACTTAGTGAAATTTTGTGTTTGTTACCAGGAGAGATTAGGTTTAATGAGATTAGAAATTGATGGGGACGAGAAGCATTTTTCTCAAAAAGGTTAAAATTACAACATAGAGATTACATACCGAAATACTAAATTGTTTCCCTATGTTTATGCTTCAATGGACGCTGCCTGAACCATACAATACAAAAAGGCATGAACATTATAGAGAGCGCGAGTAATGCGAGCAAATCAATGGCACCTTCCTGAGAGTGCCTATGCGGAATTTTTAGATAACCGGCAGCTCTGTTGAGGTGGCTCCTCCTCGTCGCCGGGGAAGAAGAGTTATCATTGCCTTGCTTGTTGAAATTGTTATTTTGGAAAGAATTTGCACAAGAGTTGTCATTGCCTTGCCGCTTGTTGAAATTTTCGTTCTTGAGAGACAGAGAATCCTCGAACCTGGCCTTGAGTATTGCCAAGCGTAATTCCTTCTCTTGACTGTTGAGGCCGTCACGTTCAATCTCCCTCGGCGATCGCTCAAGTTTGTTGTAAATGATCATGGGTGCGGATTGGGATGATGCAGTAGCCACACTAGTTCCTAGCCCTAGCAGAATGATGAATAGCATACAAGGTGAATTCATTGGTACGTAGGTTGTTCGGTTCGGTTTCTATTGGCTTTGGCTTGCTCAAGCGACCACAGTATTGGTTGTATGATTTAAGGACAGAGAGAGACTGTGAGGATGGCGTTCAGCATCTGTTTGTTTTGATTTATATACACAGAAGGCGGATGAGTTTGAGAAGCATGAAATCCTTGTAGTATTTTAGTAAAAAGACGAAGAAAATTAAACAAAAGAAATCCTAATAAAAAAAGGACATGCATTCAACAAAAGAAATCCTAACAATCCTCCTAGTATCCCTCACTACAAGAATAGCGAGCTTATACGTGGATTGGTCCCTATTAATTTTCATTAGGGACGAAAATACAAATTTGTCTCTATGAAAAGTTATATACGGAACAAAAAGTGCCCCAACTAATTTTATTACTTTTAAAAAACCTAAAAATTAAGCAATAAAAAAGTCATTCCCAATTCCCACCAAAGGGCCCGGAATATGGTCTTCCAAGTCTTTGCTATTTGTGGTCCTCACAATTACTAGTTAGCTATCGCGTAATGCTTCTAGTTCTACTTTTTCCTGTACATTTCTTTTGCGTAATTTGAACAAGGACAAACTTGAGGCTCAACGAACACGTAAATATTAGTTTAGTCTTCCATAATTAGAAAACCATTTGAACAATTCAAGCACGTAACGACATAAATCTTAGTTAAGTTTTCATCATGCAATTAATCACTTTAACGAACTGCTTTAGTAACTTCACTGGTCGTCAATCTGCATATATAGTTATTCACTCGTTTCGTATGGAAGTAAGATCAAAAGGTCAAAAGATCTTAATTTCGTATGTGTAGTTACAATTAAGAAACAACAACGCATGGTCCGTTTTTAGGCCGCAAAGCCTAAGCCGATTCCAACATCCATAATGAGGTCACTTTGTATATGTGCCAAGACTGGACCTACGCCAAGCCCAAGAAGATCAAGCACAAGCACAAGATGGTGAAACCTTGCATTCCTCGAGAAAGCAACAGTCCTAATAGAAGATGAAGGCTAAGGTACGAAGGCGTTAATGTAAAAAATGGCCGCCGAAAATGACTAAGCCGGTCGTCTCGATGAATATGGTTGTATGTGTCAAGCCCTTGACTACGTCATAAGTACCCAGCCGATTCCTAGAATTTATGAAAAAGATTTCCAGTTGGTGGATTCGTGAAACCCATACAATCGGAGTGGAAGGCCAAGCACCATTAAAATTAGGAGTTGTGTGGCTTGCCCAAACAGTCTTCTTGAAAGACGAATCATAAAGATATGCCTCCATCAATGTTTTAAGTTAGGGTTGGGATGGCGTTTAAGGCATGAATCAGGTTGGAAGTAACCAGCTTGGGATGGCTGAAGTTGTTGATTTCTCAGAAAATAAATGTGGGGAGTTTTTCAGCAGACAAGAAATGAGATAGAAAGAAAGCCTTGTGGTTTTATAGATGAGTATGTAAGGAGCTTTAGGGGGTCTCTGTCTAAGACAATCAAGGAGTAACTTTAGGGTTTGCTCTGTAACTTCGGGGTTTTATAGATTGTAGGAATCAAACAGCTTTGGTCGGTCTTCACGCTGCCTAATGATTTTTTTCAATGATGGTATGATTTCTGAGGTAGGCCTACTAAAGGAAAAAACTTTTGGTGGCTGCTTTGTCTAGAAAGTTGTAGCGCATAAGCATCTGAGTCTAAGCCTGACGAGTGGCAGAAGAAAGGAAAAGTGCGTAAGTCGAGGCAAAGTTGGTGTAAAATGGGATCTGAGATGAAAAATTGCGTAAGTCGAGGAAAAGTGCGTAAGTCGAGGAAAAGTCAGAATTTGAGATGAAAAATTTAGGTAAGACTCGATACTGTCTCGGTCTCGACATAGAGCACTATTCGGATGAAATCCTAGTACATAAATCGAACTACACCAGAAGGTGTTGTGCTGCTTTAATAAGGATAAACTGAAGCCTTTGACTACTCCTATAATCGTTCGATCGCTAGATGCAAAACGAGATCCCTTATGTCCAAAGGGGGATGATGAAGAGATTTTGGAGCCTAAAGTTCCTTATCTAAGTGCAATAGGCACTTTATTGTACTTAGCTCAATGCACTAGACCTGACATCTTCTTCGCTGTTAATCTTTTGGCAAGATACAGTACTGCACTTACACGCAAACACTGGACTGGCATGAAAGACATCTTTCGTTACCTTAAGGGTACTATGGATATAGGCTTGTTCTATCCCTACGGATCCTCAAGTGATGTTGCACCCTCTGTTTCTCAAGTCGATTCTCGCCTTGTTGGTTATGCTGACGCATGATACTTATTTGATCCGCATAAGGTACGTTCTCAAATGGGTTATGTCTTTACCGTTGGAGGCACTGCAATATCTTGGAGGTCAACTAAACAGAACTTAGTTGCCACTTCGTCTAACCATGCTAAAATTCACACCTTAATGAAGAAACTCGGGAATGCTTTTGGTTGAGAGCAGTAGTGGGCCATATTTGAAGCCATTGATGTCCCTACGACGATCTTTGAAGACAACGCAGCATGCATCGAACAGCTCAAGAAGGGTTATATCAAAGGAGACAACACCAAGCACATCGCGCTGAAGTTCTTCTTTTCACATCAACAACAAGAGCATCAGAAGATTGAAGTCATGCAAATCGTTCACAAGACAATCTGACCGACCTCTACACCAAATCACTGCCAAAGATGGCGTTTCAGAAGCTTGTTCATGGAATTGGTATGCATAAACTTTCTGAGTTGTAACATTGCTATTTCTCTTTGGAATTATGTCAAACTCAAGGAGAGTATCCTAAAGAATACTTGCTTGATCTTAATGTACTCTTTTTTCCCTACGATTATGAGCATTTTGTCCATTGGGTTTTTGCTACCTAACTAGGTTTTAACGAGGCACCCATCTTGCGCTGGTCATATCCCTAATGACGTCCCGTAAATGTTTCTTTTGACTTTGCATTTCTCATACATATTGTCACGCCCCGATCCCGACATACATCCAGGATCGACACGTGACGTCACCAAATACCCGTATATCTAATATACCCCGCCTTCTGAATATATACAAAGTATCATTCAAGATCTAGATGCATAATAATTTTTCGTATACTTTATGGCAACATCTAACCTCTTTGTTAGACTATCTACGTACCCTCATTAGGGATCAAGCCATTCGTAGTTCAACTTCTCTATAACTCGACATATAACACGATTCGTTCAAGCCAAAAAGGCATAACATTCCTCAATCAAACATTTGGACTTGACAAGCATGAATTATTCAATTCAAGCTACATAATAACCCACATGATAATCAAGGTTTCTATTTCATCCATCATATACATCATTATGTTTCAACATAATCGTGCAGGCGGTGATCACCCAACGCAGATATACCAGGCATGATTAACCCTGAATACATAGGGTCCCCCATTGCAGATATACCAAGCATGACCGTCTATATACCTCTCCTACATGGTGCAATAACTTCAACACACAACTTAACCACATCTCAACCACTATAAGTTTCAAGGTAGTCATCTACACCATCAACTTCTCAAGGCCATCACTAATATGCCACACAAGCATATAGATGCTACAACATACTTCAAATAGGATTCTAGGATAACCTTATCATAAAAATAATCATACACATCAATCACAGTACTAAAAGATAATTAAACTCAAATATATCCCAACCGTCATCAGTACACAAGCCAATTCATGTTTAATAACAAAGTCTATGGCTAATGTATAAAATCACATTTCAATAGAAATCCCATTTATAAGACCAATACATATTCACATACGATATTAATAAAAGAAAATAAGTTAATATCCATATCTCATATACTCAAGTCACTCTCTAAGCCCACTAGACTTCAATTAGTCCCCCGTAGTACTAATTTTAGTATTTAGAACGTTTCAAGACATGTTAACCAAAAGTCAATTCTCGGTCAACAATAGGATCCACAACGCTACAAAATTTGATCCAGAAGATCTGCACATTATAATCTAGATTCGTAACTTCCTAAGGTGCACATTATTCTCAAAGAACAACATACTAAAATCTCATCGCGATCCGACAGTCGGATCTCCACCAATTACTAAAGTTAGGTGGCGATCAACAATTTATTTTACAAACTTAGAAATCCAATTCGGGAAGATCCGTATGTCGGATTCCCTATCCATAAGTTCCTAACATACTCAAATATTACTTATTATAATGTCGTAAAGTTTGGTGACGATCCAACGGTCGAATCATCGATTTATATTTTGACCTATTCACATATCGAAATGAAGCTAAGTCCAGACAATCAATTTACGTCGTACGGATATCAAACATGAACTCATTGTATCTAAAAGTGCTTAAAAAGACATCATCGGCCCACAGGCCACACGCCACCGTATGCGTCGCCGCACTTGCCAGAAAGTTCAACTATTTAAAAAAATTCTCAAAAATTACAGAATTGAAGATCTCAAATAGTAGAATAAACTTTATACCTGTGGCCAAATCCAATTTGGCCTAGAAAGACTCCAATTTTGCTAAAACCGTACGGAAACCCTAGAATGGGTGTGTTCGATTCGACCTCCAAACTTGCTCCGATGCCTCCATCACTACTTGGGCTTTGTTCCTTGTCTCAATAAGATGCTATGGGTGATGGTGATCGAAGGAATTTGATTCAAATTTACTCGCTCGAAGACGAAGAACTCCCGCGGCACCCATTAGGATTTTTGTACCAAAATACCATCAAATTTCTTTAAATTTTTGGTGAAACAGGAAGAGAGAGGGCCAAGGTGATGATTGGGAATGGTTTATAATGGTTTAGAGGTCCAATTCATCGGAAAATTGGATGAAAAACGACGAGGAACCGCCGAAATTTCACACCGGTTCGAAATCGGGTCACACACGTTGGTAACGGGTCTGCTTGGTTGGGTGCTTCGCACCTCCTCTTTTCCCCTCCTTTCTTGCTCTCCTGTTGGTCATCTCTCACCACCTTTTTCCTGATTGGGCAAAAGACATTTCCTTCCTCTCTCCCATTTGGGCAGTAGCCCTTCCCTTTTGATATCTTCTATTTTTTTTTTTTTTTTTTTTTTGCTTCTCTCATTCCTGAGTGGTTAATTCCCTTTAACTCAGATAAATATGATTGGCCTCTTTCCCACAAGATGAGAGTTTAAAATAAATTTAAAAACTATCGTTTAACATCATAACTTCAAACGTCCATAACTATATCGTTAAAACCTGGACTCGCAAACTGCTTTCGTCTTTGCGTTCGTGATCTCAACATCTATTCAACAATATAAATAGTGACCTCGAATGGTCTACAGATTTTAAATAATTAATTTCCCAAAAATAATATAAATCTCTATAATACCAATGTGTAGATTATAATAATGAAATCTAGGAATGGGATTTCACACATATTTCCTTAGACTATGGATTTTGTCCCTACTCGGGTTTTTGCCATAGCCTTAGGGTTTTTTAGTGAGACTTACTGATGCAAGTTCCTACCTTATTGAGAATAAGCGTTGTTCCTTATAATCAATCCTGACGAGTCGACTTCCTCAACTTCTGCATGATGCTAAATCTACCTTGAATATTTACACACTCAAGGGGGAGTGTTGTAAATTGTCATAAGTTAAGCGTGATTGTGTAAATCCTAGATTATATTTGATTTTAGTTATCATTTCCTATTACAATTTGTATTCATTGGGAATGAAAGAATTTCTTTTCTCCTTTTTACTACTATAAATAAAGGCAATATGTAGGAAGGATAACATACACATTCCCTTACAATTCTACAAACGCATCTCTCTCAATCTCTCTACCCTTGCCGCCGGCCCCCCTTAACCTTGTCATATCAAATAGGCTACAACATGCATTTTATTATTCACCTTCTTACTCTTAAAAATATTGCATTATTTGTCAATTTTTAACCTTTGACATTTTAATTTTCAAACAATAGGAATTATGAAATAAAAATATTTTTTTTACAAGCGATATTATTTATACTAATGAAGTGGGATGGTTTAAGTCTTATAATAACCTAATAATAATATTGTTCAAATTCTTTTTTTACAAAAATTAAACCTAAAATTTTTCATTTATATAATATCAAAAAAATGCAACTAAACAATAATATTAAGCGACAAATTATTCTCCACGAAACTCAGTTCCTTGGATATTAAACAAGTAAACATGACGTCGGAAGAATTGAGGGATCAATGCCATGTCATTGTCAATGTTAATGCAAAAATAAAGTCAGACTCACCAGCTCACCGACTTGATCAACTCTCCTCTCTCAGCGGCCCCGCCACATCAATCCACGCAGCCCGGCCCCACCGGCACCCAGTTGTCCCACACAGTGACCCGCTGTAGTACAAGCCGTTCCCAGTCCTGCCAGTCCTTTCGTTACGGCCGCACCCAAATCCGTTCGCGACAAAATATACGGAATCTACAATTTAATAGTACTCTCAATTAATCATTGACTAATTTTGTCCCCAAAAAAATTAATCATTTATTAAAATACTGACTAATTCCCCTTACTAAATAGACAATCGCACTATTCCTAGTTCTTTTTTTTTTTTTTGTCGAACAATAAGATTTTATTAGATTAAATATTAAATTAGCTATTAACGGAATTTAAACTCACGTCGTTATGCAAAAACTCAATATATTTCCACCACTATGGTAAATGACGACTTACCTATTCATAATCCTTTTAGACCCATTCAAATAATATGTAATTGTTTGTTGAGCCGAATAAATGGGTTTAGAGAGAACCCAATAAAGGATAAGAACATCAAGACATTGGGCCGGCAAACTAGCTCAAGAAATCCCAAGTGCCACTACGAGAATGAAAAACGACCGCTAGCAAGAGACCACTTATAGCCCTGGATTGTCTACCGATAAGAAGAGACAAGCGAAAAACATAAAGTACTTTCCGACTGCTCAAGCCAATTGGCAAACCTAGAAACTTTCTAGCACAAAACTTTGGACACAAGTCAATCCAGATTTTGGGACCATGAACCTTAGGCCCCTAAAATGTGGCACCATGGATGCCTAGAACGACCGAATGCCCACAACTTATGGTGCTTAGACTATCCGAATCAATACAAGAGGCCTTGTCAGATCGGAGTAAGCTAGTCAAATCAGGCCTAAACTAGCTAGATTAGAGCAAGCTAGTCAGGTCGAGCCCACCAAAGATTGATCATACTAATTTTGTTAACCTTCCAATTTTGAGTGCTAACAACTGTCATACGTGGAGCATGGTAAAGCCACTGGCTGGGACGGTGGTGGTGTTCCTGGCGGTTGCCTTGTCATACGTGGAGAAGCTGGGTTTGTTTAGAGAGATGATTTACTCCATTTTTAGAGCCTTCGTTCAGCTTTCGATTATCGGGTTTGTTCTTCAGTTCATCTTCACTCGGGACAATGCCGTTTGGATCGTTCTGGCTTACCCTTTCATGGTTTGTAATTGTCTTTTTCGTGCTTACTTTTCTTGCCATGTGTTTAGTTTCCGAGAAAATTTGATTGTTTGGTCAATACTCAATAGTCAATAACCTTTGATAAATTTAGCTTTTGAAGCATGTTGTTGGGTTTTTTTAATTTCTTTTTTTTTTAATTTTCTAGAAGCAGAGGCCTTTGTTTTTCTTCTGCTTCAATTGAGAAATTTAGACACATAAGTAATTGTGTTTCATGCGGTTACATTTATAATCACTTACTTTTAGAATTGATATCAAGATAGAGCAAAAAGAGCTACATTTTTCATCTTTTGAACTACCTTTTATATTAAATCTAAGCGTGAGTGACATAAACTGGATGTATGACACGGTTTAGTACCCATTATTGTCTCTTGACTCTCATTAGTGTTCATATATATCTATATCCGATTAAAAGTTTATAATCGGTTTATTTGTTCTCGTCTCGTTATATTGCCACAACATCAAATTGTAATAATTGTTGGAGCAGTTTTTTATGATCTTTATGTGATTGTTGCCTCTGCAGGTGACTGTTGCTGGTTATACAGCAGGGCAAAGGGCTACGCACGTCCCAAGAGGGAAGTATGTTGCTGGAGCTTCCATAGTGGCTGGAACTTCAATCACAATGTTTCTGCTTCTTGTGATGAGAGTGTTCCCCTTCACTACAAGATATATTATCCCCGCTGCAGGAATGATGGTCGGAAATTCAATGACGGTAACTGGGGTTACGATGAAAAGGCTTCGAGATGATATTCGAACTCAAATGAACTTGGTAGGTTAATTTCTTACCCGAAGAAAACCATATTGATACCAAATCCGTCTCTTCATTTCCATATAATTTTGGGTGCTGTAGATTTTGGCCCTTATAATTCATGATTCCTAGATAAAAACCCAATACATATAAACGTCCAATAAAAGCCAAAATTTAAAATCTGCAGCCACATCGAAACACAATTGACCTACTAATACAATTTATTTACACCTATGCCACTTTCTCAAATCCCTAAATTTATTCCAAATTAAAAGTTGTAGAAAAAGTGAAATAAAACATATAAAATGTTGTATTGCATTAATTGTATCCATATTATACCAAAAATTTACCTTTTTGTGATATATATATATATATATATATATATATTGCATTAATTGGGAAGTAACTTAATTTGTTCCAATTATTAAAAACAATTATACTAAATCCATATTATATGTTTTGAATCAAATAACAATTAGGTGTGGTAATAGTAGAGAGAATAGAGAAATGTGTAATTATGGGTATATGTTATTCCACCCTATTGTGCCTTTATTTATAGTTAATTATTCACCCTTTTAGGATTACAACTCTAATAGGATATTAACTACTATAGGGAATATAAAAGATATCCCTAGATATGTTAGGATTTACACAATCACATTCATATTCCAATAGGACTGCAACACTCCCCCTTTAGTGTGTAAATACTCCAACAAATGGTGCATCAGGTCTTCAGTGATTAAGTAAGTATAATTGATGAAATCGTCGACACAATGAGCAAATGCGAGTCTCAAATCAACGGAAGAATGCATAAAAAAGTAAAACTCACAAAACCTTGCTATGATAAAACCGATAGACTAAGGAGAAAAGTGAGAAGTTGCATTAAGTCAAAACTATGTGGAGCTATGTCAACTTGCGTACGTCTTGTGAAGGAAGATTTGTGAAAAACATGTTCATTTAAGCAACATCAATAGCATGCAATTAACAATTAAAGGCGGAATCATGCTTGTATGCACTTAAAACAAAACATTTACCCATGAAATTCAAAGCCTAGTAGATAGGTGAACCAAGACTCAACTCAAAACAAAGTGAGTTGAGAAATCAATACCTTTGTAGATTCCTCTTTGCATAAGCAAAGGCTTATCACCCAAAGAGAGGGCCTTCATTCCTTGCATCTTAGATCCATGGATTTGGATGGATGAAAAGGTTTCTCCAAGTTCCCAAAATTGAGAACCTCTAATGATTCATCACCAAGGCATAATGAAGAAGAAATGAGTGACCTTGGAGGAGTTTGATTGCTAGATGATCCCTCCAAGGTAGCCGAAATTTTTGAGAGAAATGAGAGCTTGTGTTCTCATCCTTTCCCCAAAAATAACCCTTAGTAAATTTTAGGCTATAAAGTCCTTTATATAGTCCCTTCAAATAAGTGACCTAATGGACCAAAAGCCCTATTCTTTTACACATGGCCGGCCTATAGGTTTATTGGGCTTTCAAGCCCTTTGTTTTATTCAAGTTGTCATACAACTTGAGTTAATGGGCTTGACATTCAAATCCCATTGGGCCTTGCGGCCCAAAACTAACCCGAGGTCTTTAACGAACTTATTCGTTTGATTAATTAACATATTAATTAATCCTAGCCTTAGATAAATAATTAAACCATTTAATTATTCTTACTCATCTCCGTTGTTTTTTCAAACTCTACCTTACTCGATGAACGATCCATTAGGTTCCTTTTAGCGAGGCAGTGGGCGATTAAAACTCTTTCTAATCGATTGTGAATTGAAACTTACTTTCAATTCTCCCGTTAGTGATAATACACTTTTAGGGCTTCCACAAACCATGGTTGACGCCTAGCAGCATGTCATGGTTACCCAAGCTAATCAGAAGAGGTGGAGAACCTATTCAGTTTAGGATTACAAATGCAATACGGTCTTTCTCTAATACAATACTCTTGACCACATTGTTTGGTTTGATAGTTTATTCATGTCTACTATCCAATGTGAATCTTGTACTTATATGATTACCGTGAATGTGATCTGGAACGCATTCCAACATCTCATTCATACTCTGGCCAGAGATTCTAAATCATATCATAGAGTATTCTCCCTCAAACAGTTTGAAGGTTAGAGATCCCTTGTTGCGCATTCACTTAACTCCATGGCTAAGTGGCTTAACCCCAATGATGCCATGGACACCCTCATGATGGAGTGACTTTGACATAATCAAAGATTAAGGACCTAACCACAAGACAACTGTGATGCCTCAGGTCAAAAGACTAATTTGCATTATCCCAACCATGAGTTCTCATGTGACATGAATATGAAAACTCTTTGTTGATCGTGTTCAGTGAACTCATTCTCTATTGAGCACCTACATGCTTGTCTTGGTGTCATTCACACCAATGACTCGAGACTAGTCACTCTCCCTGAGAGAAGACATAGCACGTATTGATCTTAACGGACTGTCAATGCCCAATTGGCAATCCTATGATCTCATGAATCTAACTTCTTTAGATCGCATTCTCCCAATCACATATTCCTTGGACTTATCGTTTAAGCATATAACATTTATATGAGATGGCTCAAACAATAATGTTTGCCCTTAATATTAAACTAGATTAGTTTAACATGTGAAATGTCCATAAAGTATCATCATATGATTGGTTTTAGGGCACATTTCCAACATCTTGTTGACCAAATGATCAGGTATACCACGCGACGTATCATCCTCTCTTAGATGCATGTAGAAGAGCTCACATGGGTATGATCAACCCAGGATGGGTGCCTCGTTAAAACCTAGTTAGGTAGCAAAAACCCAGTGGGAAAAATGCGGACTCTCTTTGATGCACACCGGGGTGTTAGTGTGAGTGATCGGTCAACCGGCCTAATGAAGCAAAATAAGTATGCAATGTACAAAAATTCTCTTTGCGGTCTCTACTAGTGCATATCAAGTGGGGTTGGCCAATTGACCACCCCGGACGAAGCAAAATAAGTGTATTACGTTATCGAAATTCTCTCTTGCAGACTCTAATGATGCACCAGAAAAATAAATAAGTTTTGTACATCTGTCAGAGTAGCCATAGGCATCGAGATTACTATTTTTCTTTTTACCCAAGTGTTGTAGGGAAGAATAAATACATCATAGGACACCAACTGCAAAAGTGAACGTTCTTAATCTTTTAAATTACAAGGCAGTTGCCATTATAAAATAATGATAGCCTTCATTCAAAGGGATCCTTATTTTTTAATATAAAAATGGGAACTAGTTGGCTGGCCTACTCTACATTGAATTTCAACGCTCCGAAATATTTATTTTTCAAGTCTGTATTCATAGATCATCATTTCAAAATGGTAATTTAATCTCGAAACCGTTTACCTATTTGATTGTCTTGATAAAATTTCAATTTTTCTTAAAATACAGTGTTTGTCAATTCTTTTGACCTCAATTATATATCTTAAACATTTTTTATTTTTCCAATATTTTGCAAGGATAATTAATGAAGTGCAACTTAAAAATAAATCGTTTGGATCATTGAAGGTTGATGTGAAATGGGCCCCATAATTGAACCCCGTTTCTATCAAACAATGAAGACCCCTTTAGATAAAGGGCTTGATGTAATAATATTTTTTTTTTTAAAACAACATATATTATCTACACTAGTGGGGATGATTGACTTAACTTCATAATGAGCTAGCAATAATATGTTTAAAATTCATCATTGTTGACCACTCACTTACAAACAAATAGTAAAGAAGAATACAACTAAACTGTAGTACTAAGTGACAATAATATTACTAATAAGTTTGTTTGTTTTTTTTTTTTTTTTTCGTGTGTGTAAAAGATTCGAGTGCAGGGAGGTAGCTATACCTTTCATTGTTTGGGTTGAAGAGACGTAAAGAATTGAACTTATATACTTGTTCACAACTTCAATCCATACAAACAACAACATGTATAATAAAACACCAGCTTGAGTACAAGTAGACAGATCAGCCACGCACCTAATCCTAAAACAAGTCATCCACCCAACAAATTATATTCGATTTTCTCTGGATTTCTCTTTTTATTCAGATTCTCTCTTAAATATTATGTGTATCAAACTTATATTAAGATACTACTCACTACTATGGTCTGGTAGTATTTCTCTTCACTTGCAAGTAGGAGATCTTAGATTCGAATCTCGTGGATAGCGAATTCGATATCAACTTAGGTTGCACATTGTGTGGTTTTGCCGAACTCCCATTCCCCTTAGTGTAAAAATATCGATGTATTAAAAAAAACTTATATAAAGATAGCGTCAATATTAAATAAACATCAGACAAAACTTCTTACGACATTCAAACCTAATACTGTCAAATTGTGCATATAATACAAAAAGTGTTGATATCATTTAATGTGAACGTCGGTAGTGCTACACTTATTATCTATGTACTATCATTTATATCATCTCTTTAATAGAGGTAGGGTCCATCAACAAGGTGGATGTCATCTTTATTAGAGATGATATAAATGGTGGTACACATAGATGGTAAGAATTTCATTTTTGGTAGTGTAATACAATCACGTTCAAGTATAAACTATCTTACAATTACAGTATAATATGATGTCTATAATGTAAAGATGGACCTTGTTATAATAATACCAACGTCATTTTGTATAATTAGTTATAATGTTACGATTAATGTATAAAGTTAGAATATAAATTTGAGTGATTATAGTGTAACTTTACATTTCTTGTAATTCACACGTTAAATGCTAACTTAGGTCATAACGTTATTATACATTAAGATGACAATACCATTGAATTAGAACATTGTATAATTTCATGACGTCTACTAGCAGCAGCGTACGTCCATATTGTAATAATATCTCCATAATATCATCATCAATATTAATAATGTAATGCATTCATGTCTAAGTATAATAATATACCCTGATAATGACAACAAATGTGTTTAGATTTCCTGAAAAAGATTCTCGCCGGATCTTTTTCATAAAGATCCTAGGGTTCCCGTGATCATGACTGTTCATCATACATCGTGCGATCAGAAATCATTCAAAAATCAAAATTTAAAATTAAATATAAATAATACATAACGAAAACTGACCGCACAATGTACGATGAACGGTTAGGATCACGGAATCCTCAGGAAAAGGATTGGGCGATGATCCTTTTCCAAGATTTCCTAATTGGAGGAGGATTCTCTCATCTCCTAATCTCTCTCCCTTTCCCTTCCTTCTTATTTGAATGGTTACGATTTAATCAGTCAACATCTTATATTGATTTTTTTATAAAGATAAAAAGATAAAAAACAATATGTAAAAGAAGGGGAGGGAAGGAAATGAGACCTACTCTTTCCTAATTGGTCAAGCCACAATTGGAGGCCCGTTCACGTGGATCTTTGTGCAAATAATTAGGTAATGGGACCAATAAAATATAATATCATATGTAAAAAAGTTGAGTGAAACTTTGATATGTTCCCTACAGCTGGCAGGGTTGATCTCAGCAATTTTATTTTAGAAAATAATTTTTTTAACAAACGTTATTATTTATATTAAGCACAAAAGGGCTTGGTTTAATCTTAAAATGAACTAGTAATAATGTGATTCAAATTTGCTTTTGATAAGAATCGAACTTAAGATCATTCACTTACAAGTGAGATGAATATAACTAAACCATAGTACTAAGTGACAAAAATAAACTTTCTTAAAATAAAGAGAATCTACAAAAGCACCCAGAATGCATATACACATTTTTTTCTTTTTTCCATTTCATTCTATTATTTTGAAAGAAAAAAAAAATCATTCTATTATTAACTACTAAAACTATTGCATTTTATTATTCAGCTTATTACAAAAGACCCCTCATTTACAAGTGAGATGAATACCACTAGACCATACTACTAAGTAGCAGAAATAAACTTTCTTAAAATACAGAGAATCTACAAAAACACATGGAATGCATACACACATTTTTTTTTCTTTTTTCCATTTCATTCTATTATTTCGAAAGAAAAAAAATCATTCTATTATTAATGACTAAAACTATTGCATTTTATTATTCACCTTCTTACTCTTAAATATAGGGCATTATTTGTCAATTTTTAACCTTTGACATTTTAATTTTCAAACAATAGGAATTATGAAATAAAAATACATTTTTTTACAAACGATATTATTTATACTAACATAATAGGATGGTTTAAGTCTCATAATAAACTAATAATAATGTAATTTTAAATTTTCTTTTTATAAAAATTAAATTTAAAATTTCTCATTTATAAAATAAAAAATATTACTAAATAATAATATTAAATGACAAATTATTCTCCATGAAACTCCGTTCCTCCAATATTAAACAAGTAAACGTGACGTAGGAAGAATAGAGGGATCAATGCCATGTCGTTGTCAATGTTAATGCAAAAATAAAGTCAGGCTCAGCAGCTCACCGACTTGATCAACTCTCCCCTCTCATCGGCCCCGCCACATCAACCCACGCAGCCCGGGCCCCGCCAGCCTTTACCACTCGCCCAGTTGTCCCACACATATCCCGGCTGTAGTACAAACCGTTCCCAGTCCTGCCAGTCCTTTCGTTACGGCCGTACCCAAGTCCATCCTATTCGGTGACAAAATATACGGAATTACAATTTAATAATACTCTCAATTAATCATTGACTAACTTTGTCCGAATAAAAAATTAATTATTGATTAAAATACTGACTAACTCCTCCTTATTAAAAAGACAATCGCACTATTCATAGTCTTTTTTTTTTTTTTTTTTTTTCCATCAAAGTCATCGATAGAGTTTGAACTCATGTCGTGATGTAAAAACCCAACAACTTTTCACTAGTGTGCTAATGGGTCAATTGCCTATTCATAGTCCTTTTAAACCCATTCAAATAATATGTAATTGTTTTTTTAGCCGAATAAATGGGTTTGGAGAAAGCCTAGTAAAAGATAAGAAGATCAAGACATTGGGGTGGCAAATTGGCTCAAGAAATCTCAAGCGTCACTATGAGAATGAAAATGACCGCTAGCAAGTGACCACTCATAGCCTTGGATTGTTTACCAATAAGAAGAGACAAGCGAAAAACAAAATGTACTTTCCGACTGCTCAAGCCAATTGACAATCCTAGAAACTTTCTAGCACAAAATTCCAAGGACAGGTCAATCCAGATTATGGGACCATGAACCTTAGGCCCCTAAAACATGGCACATGGATGCCTAGAACGAACGAATGCCCACAACACATGGCGCTCAGTCTATCTAAATCAAAATGAGAGGCTTTGTCAGATCAGAGTAAGCTAGTTAAATCAAATCCAGCTAGCTAGATCGGAACAAGCTAGTCAAGTTGAGCCCATCAAAAATTGACCATATTAATTTTGTTAACCTTCCAATTCATAGCGTTAACAACTGTCACGTAGAATTATTAAAACGTACGTACTAGTAAAAAAATGGACAACATAATTTTGATACCATAATATTTTAAACGAACTGACAACAATGGTGATACACCATCTAATACAGATGTGTCCTACTCTTATATTTTTAGTGCATCGACCCGTAGTAAAGTACATTTGCACTATTCACCCATAAAAAATACATTTACACCATGTTTAAATACGTGACGACGAGATGACAATCATACTAAAAAATTTCATGCGAAAATATTCTCTTAAAAAATCTTGGAGTTGTCAACTCCACCACATCATTCGAACTTCAGGGGGAGGTCGTTTCCTCACTCTATCTCTCTCCCTCTCTCCAATCCACATATTACTAATTTCTTCACGCAATATCCGAATTTCGTATCAACTATCTCACAAATGGCGTCACTCATCTCGGCCACCGCGCAAAACCACACAGACATCGCACAGTCCAATTTCATACAAGGCCTATTTGCCGACCAGGTTCTTGTTTCCTTGCGTGAATTTCTGGCCAACATGGACTTCTCATGGATGGTGGACTTTCTCAAGGGCATGGTGAAGCCGCTGGCGGCGACGGTGGTGGTGTTCCTGGCGGTTGCCTTGTCATACATGGAGAAGCTGGGTTTGGGTAGAGAGATGATTTACTCCATTTGTAGAGCCTTCGTTCAGCTTTCGATTATCGGGTTTGTTCTTCAGTTCATCTTCACTCGGGACAATGCCGTTTGGATCGTTCTGGCTTACCTTTTCATGGTTTGTAATTGTCTCTTTTGTGCTAACTTTTCTTGCCATGTGTTTGGTTTCCGAGAAAATTCAATTGTTTGGTCAATACTCAATAGTCAATACCCTTTCCTAAATTTAGCTTTTGAAGCATGCTGTTGGGTTTGTTTAATTTTTTTTTAATTTTCTGGAAGCAGAGGCCTCTGTTTTTCTTCTGCTTTAATTTAGAAGTCTAGATACAAAAGTAATTGTGTTTCATGAGTCCCGTTCTCTCGGTCACATTATGATCACTTATTTTTAGAATTGATATCAGGGTAGAGAATAAAGAGATACCTTTTATATGATCACTCATTAGTGTTCATATATATATCTATTTCTGATTAAAAGTTTATAATCGGTTCTATTTGTTCTCGTCTCGTTATATTGCTACAACATCAAATTGTAATAATTATTGGTGCAGTTTCTTTACGATCTTTATGTGATTGTTGCCTCTGCAGGTGACTGTTGCTGGTTATACAGCAGGGCAAAGGGCTAAGCATGTCCCAAGAGGGAAGTATGTTGCTGGGGCTTCCATATTGGCTGGAACTTCAATCACAATGTTTCTGCTTCTTGTGATGAGAGTGTTCCCCTTCACTCCAAGATATATTATCCCCGTTGCAGGAATGATGGTCGGAAATTCGATGACGGTAACTGGGGTTACGATGAAGCGGCTTCGAGATGATATTCGAACTCAAATGAACCTGGTAGGTTAATTTCTTACCTGAAGAAAACCATATGGATACCAAATCCGTCTCTTCTTTCCATATAATTTTTCCATAGACTAACTGCTTGTTTCCAAAAGCGCTTTCTTGTAACCAAAAGCTCTTCTGACATTGTTTGGTAGAAATACCTAAAAGTACACTAGGAAACACTTCCAAGTGTTTTTTTTTATTTTTTTATTTTTTTATTTTTTATTTTATTTCCGGAGAATTATAAGTATTTTCTACAGAAGCAGTCTTGACTCTCGACGGGGCCCTAAGAGGCCAACCTTGTGTTCAAAGTATTTACTAATTAGTCTTGCATATTATATTGTCCAATGTTCACGATATAGTAATGTGCAGATGGATAAATATTTAGTTAGTTCGAGTCATTTTCCAGTTGGAAATCTGAAAATTGGCAACAATGTCAATGAACTGACTTGGATTACCGATTTTTTTTTTTCAGGTAGAGACAGCGTTGGCTCTTGGCGCAACGCCGCGCCAAGCAACGATGCAGCAGGTGAAGAGAGCTCTGGTGATTTCTCTGTCTCCAGTTCTGGACAATGCCAAAACCGTCGGCCTCATCTCGCTTCCCGGTGCAATGACTGGCCTCATAATGGGAGGAGCCTCCCCTCTGGAGGCCATTCAATTGCAGATTGTTGTGATGAACTTTATGATTGGTGCAACTACAGTTAGCAGCATTTCTTCAACATATCTGTGCTGGCCTGCCTTCTTTACCAAAGCTTATCAGTTAGAGACCAAGGTTTTCACTTCAGAATAGGGTTTTTGTAATGTTATATTGTACAATATTTATCAAATCAGCGCTCTGCTTTTCTCTTAGGGCTTGTTGGGTACACATACATGATTCAAATGTGTAACCTAATAAATTAAAATGCTGAAGAGATAAAATATAAAAGTATCATCACCTAAAAGATAGAAGATGGATTACTCATGAGGAAAACTCGTTCATTCCAGTCCTCCATAAAACGGTAGGATTAGAAGGGATGACTATCCTTCATAGCTAATCGTCTTCTAATCCCCTTGAACAACCATTCACTTCTACTATCAATATATCTTGAAATTTTGATAGTTCTCAATTTCAGTTAAATCATGTGCGGTGAAAGAGCCTTAAGTGACAAATATACATATACATCCATCATGTTATTTAATTATTTGGGCCACAAACACATGATATTACGCGTGGTTGTAAAAGAACAACATCGCTTACCAACAAAAATGATAAAAGGAATAATACCATTGATGTAATAAAGTAGGATAGGTAAGTTCAACACTCTTCCTTTAGCCTGCACTCTACTCCTCCTACGATTTTAGATACAATTTCAAAATATTCATCTTCGACTACAAATGGCCAAAGAAGAATGCCAAAATGGCTCCATAAAATAAGCGTCTTAGATGCTCGTATGAAAAGGCATGCCACGCCAACAGCTAGAACATGAAGGTTGAGATGATCGGAGTTGAGGTGGTGGCGGTCAGATGTTTAGGCTAACCCTAGTGTTGACGATGGTGACCGCCACCGCCACCATGAGACCCTTGACCGTGTCTCTGATTATTTGGGGCTTGATTACCCTTTTGACCTTGTCCGTGATTAGTTGGGGCTTGATTACCCTTTTGACCTTGACCTTGTCCATTTTGTCCACGGGGTACATGATGACCCCCACCCTTATTACCCTAAAGAGTAGAATAGCAACCAGTTAATTATCTTCGCAAAATACAAGTAACTTTTTATTACAGTGATGAGAAGATGGTTAGTGTTTGCATGACGGCATGAGTGGTGATTAATCTAACAAAATCTATTATTTGAAAAAAAATAAAAAATTATCTTCGTAAGATCAAGTAAAATAGCAACAACAAAAATTATATATTTCTTGTAACGAGTTAATTTCATCTAATCCTCTATTCATTTAAAAGAAGAAAAAGGATTAAATATCGCATTCAATACCAGAATTTAGTTTCTTATCATTTCGGACAAAAAAAAAAATCTAATTTCATCTAATCCTCTATTCATTTAAAAGAAGAAAAAGGATTAAATATCGCATTCAATACCAGAATTTAGTTTCTTATCATTTCGGACAAAAAAAAAAAAAAATCATTTCTTTACTATTGAAGTTAGATTCTCATTCTCCTTTTAATGATGTTATCATGCTTAAGCCTAAAGTCAAGTTATTAAAATTACCTTTCGTTTCATCAAATGTTTGCCACCTGAATTTGAAGCCTCACCATTAGGCGATGATGGTGGTGGCGGCCGAGAAAGCGACGATGCTGGTGGTGATGGCGCAGTCGTCGACAGGTTATGATGAGCTAATTGAGATAAAGGGATTGGGTTAAAGGGATCCATGCCGACCCAATTTCCAGGAGGATAATATTCACAAACAACTAGCAAATTTCCATTGGAGCATTTGTGTCGGGCGCATCCTACTTGTTCAGTGTCTTTCCATACAATCTGCGTGTAATGTGCGCATGGTTTATCTGGCTCGCACTCGCGCTTTTCTTTGTTGTAGTACACCTTCTCATGTCCCCAGTCATGCACTGCCTCCCTCGGCAGCCAATGCGCTTTGTAAGCCCAGAACAAGTTCTCCCCCATACCTTGATACGATGAATGCTGCATTTGACAGTCGTGATGATCCTGCTTCATGGCCCAGTCCTCCGCCAACTGGGCCATCGTGTCGTTCCACACCAACGGCTTCATCTTCTCCTCCCTTCGGATCTCGTTATGGGCCATGAGGAACTCTTGGACCAGCGCCGGTCGAGGGTACTCGGTGAAGTTGTCCGTGTTTGGTTTCAACGCGGTGGCCAGGTTATTGAGAAGGCTATTCGCGGTGTTGGCAATGCCCTTGACTGCCTTGCCAATGTGGTCGGCGGCATTGGCTATTTCCTGTGATTTATCATTGGGATTAGCATTGGCGTTTGTTGCGTCAACATGGTTGACATGAAGAATGTGATCTCTCAAGTTGGCCGAGACCGCGAGGATCAGGAGAGAGATGGTGAGTATTATGGTAGCGAAGGTCCGACCTCGCGGCATTGCGTGGTTGTATGTGGAGTTTTTGAAGGTGGTGGTTAAAATCTAGGTAGTTTAAATCTTTGATAAGGGTGACGTGACGATGTAGGGCTAATTTGGTTCAGTTCGGTTCGGTTTTGCTTTGCTAGCTCTCAGCCTCTAAGAGCAGCGGCAAGAGAGAGCGACCATGAGAGGACCTAAGAGGGGTTTTATTTGGTCTAGTTTGCTAAAAATGACCGTACAACTCCATCAACTTTCCCATCATCCCATGCCTAATTTTGCTAGCTCGCAGCCTCCACAATAGTTATGCTATTTTAAGGAGGATGCTGATGGAGAGCCGCAGTTTTTGGGACGTCTTTCGGTCAAATGGTCAAATTGTTGTTTTCATGCAAATGCTTGTCCGTCAATGACATGCAAGCACCTGAAAGAAATTGGTATTTTTTGCGTCCTGAGTGATATGAAATAGGATCCTTTTCGGATTTTTTTTGTGGGGATCCAGAAATTAATTAATCGTGTTCATTCATCGTACATCGTATGATTATAAATTATTTTAAATTTAAAAGTATTGAAACCGATTCTTGTATAGGTCACAAGTATGGGTCGTAAAACATCACTCTAGCTAAGTCATGGGTTAAAGTGATTTTCTCAACCCTACTCTTGTGGAAATACCTTGTCATTCCTACTTGGGTATTTTGTCAATCTTTTTTCCTTGTCTCTAGGAACCACTTTCCTTGTTATTAATATTTGTCTTGTCCACTTGTTAGGACTGATTTGCGAGTGGGTTGTAGCTGTTAGCCGTCTTGTATTTCTATTTTTGGCTCTCTATAGTTGCCTTTTACTCTTGTAAAGTTTACAATGAAATATACAACAAAGATTTGAAATCAAAAGTTAACAAAAATTTAAAATTAAATATAAATAGTACTTAATGAAAACTGATCGCACAATGTAAGATGAACAAATAATATTGATTGATCATCTAGATTCCCACAAAGAGGATCCGGAAAGGATCATTGACCGAGTGATACTACTCAATACATAATTAGGTTGAAATTTGTAACTTGTTTTATTTTATTGTTTTCATTTTTTTACACAACGATATATTGAAAGAGCGTGAACTTACCTAGCCCCACAATGAATAAAGCATAATTTGACATCAAAATTCATATTCAAAAAAGTCGAACCTAAAACGTATTTACCAAAATGACCTCTAATTTTATAAATTAAACTTACGTATCAAGTCCGTTACTTTAGATACTGGTAAATAGGTTTTAGATTCCAACATCATAGACATAAATTGTAGGGGAATGTGTTATGTCATGGCCAATATGGTCATGAACAATATTGTTGGGGCAAGGACGGATATGATCTTTAGATGATAAAGAGAAGGTTTTTTTAGCTAAAATGATCCATGAGATTTGTATAACACATCACTTTGGTTCTTGAGATTGAAAATCAATAGAAATGGTCCATGATATTGTCCAACATCCATTATTTTGGTCCTTTCATTAAAAACTTCGTTAAGTGTCCCAGAGCTCTTGACCGAAAGTTTGTGCAATTTTCAAAGCTTCGTAACTCGATTGTTTCTTAACCAAATTCGATCCATAATATATCAAAATGAAGATAGGAAAGTGTATAACAAAATTATACCTATTTCGAAGCCCAATGATTGTTGAAGATGGTAGGAAAATAGCCTGAAAGGTGACTGATCCGCAGGAAAACTGGAAAACTCGCCGGAAACTGAGTAAACTTTAAACGTTCATAACTTCTTCAATACTCAATGAAATCGAGTGATTCAAAAACGAAAATTATACTTGTCGATAAGAAAAAGACAATGTTACCTTTTTTTTGTGGCTAAATCGCCGTGTTTTGGCCGTAAAATGGCTCGAAAGTGGCTGTCTTGGTCTCAAGTTAGCCATTTTCGAGCCGTTTGTCGAACAAACCACGGAGAATTAGCCGTTGAAAAAGGTACCATTCTCTTCATATCCTTGAGAAGTTTGATTTTTGTTTTTGAATCACTCGATTTCAATATTGAAGAAGTTATGAACGTTTAAAGTTTACCCAGTTTCCGTCGAGTTTTCCAGTTGACCAATCACTATTTTCCGGCAATCTCCGGCAACCATTGGGCTTCCAAATAGGTATAATCTTGTTCTAACACTTTCCCATCTTCATTTTGATTATTATGGGTCGAATTTGGTTAAAAAACGATTGAGTTACGAAGCTTTGAAAATTGCCCAAACTTCCATTCAAGAGCTCTGGAAAACTTAATGGATGGTGGACAATCTCAGAGACCATTTCTATTGATTTTCAATCTTAGAGACCAAAGTGATGTGTTATGCAAATCTCAGAGACCATTTTGGCTAAAAAGCCTAAAAAGAATGAACTGTTCTGATTATGATGTTTGGACAGTAAAGGTTCGTTAATTGTAGGTGGGATGACAAGTAAGTCCCCCTCGGGAGACACTAGCATTATCCTTAATTTTCTGTATTTTATGCATGTAATTATCAGATGGAACCTGGTGGATATAAAGATCTCAACAAACAAGGGTACGGGCTGGAAACAACCACCCTAAGCACCGCTCTCTTCAAGAAAGGCCAAACTTGCGGGACTTTTTCCGAGGTGATGTGCGTGGATGATCCACAATGGTGCCTACCAAGCAGCACTAAAGTGACAGCAACCAACTTTGTCCATCCGGTGAGTTCAGTTTAGATTGGTGCAACTCTCCTCATGAACACTTTGATGTGTACCAACCGATGTCTGAATGCCAGAATAGTTCCGATTCACTTTCAACGATTGACATGCTCTTAGAGGAGAGGGATCAAGTGTGAACTTACGGGAAACCCTAATTTCCTACTTGTGTTGGCATATAACGTTGGAGGGGCTGGTGTGGTGATGTGGTTGATGTAAAACCAAGGGCTCAAAAACAGGTTGGATACAGATGAAGAGTAACTGTGGACAAATTGGCAAACTGGAGGAGGTCTTCTAGGTCAAAGTTTGTCGTTCCAAGCAGCTACGAGTGATAGCTAGAAGGATGGTGATGTCTCTTGATGTTGCGCCAACAAAGTAATCATTCCATCTTATTATTTAATCTTTTAATGTTACGAAACATATAATTTTATCGCTTAAGTAGTAGTCTTAAGTTTGATTATAGATGGAGAATTCAATGTCAAATTATTGTCGCTGACTCATTTTGTAGCTTAACCTAAATCTTCCACTATCGTTGTATTTAAGAAAACATATAAGTTTATTATTTAATACCATGCAAAATATTCGAAGAAAATGACATCACTACGGCAGAGTGATGAACTGATGAATGTCATCCAACTTCGCGTAAAATCTCGGTTGTTTTCGGGGGTGACTTATCTCCTGCACTGTACTGACGAACATGGCCGCCCACATAAACTGAGCTAATTCCGGGAACCTTTCGATCGCATGCCCTTGTTCTTAAGATCTTGCCTCAGTTGCCTTGTCTTGCTTTCCATCCAAAGTATACACGTTCCGATGCAGAACGTGATAATCTGTGTTGTGGGGGTCCATTCGAACGAGTTGCAGCACGAATTCACGGAGCTATAGCCTTCAATGGACTCTGTAAGATCCGAGAAGAGCCTTAATTAAACTCGTTTGGAGGCATTGGTATTTGCATAATGGGGAATTTTAGCCAGTTTAAAGCATATCTAATGCGTGCATAATGGCGTAGGCAAAAGTTTTTTTTTTTTTTTTTTTTTTTAAGTACAACGATATATTTTACACTAAGGGGATGAGGAGTTTGCTAAACTACACAATAAACAATCTAATTTGGTATCAAATTCACCTTTTACGATATTCAAATATAAAATCTCTTACTTACAAGTAAAAAGAAATACTACCAGACTGTTATACTGATCAACGACAAAAGTACTATTTATCCCTGAATGACAAAATTTAATTTCATATGGAATATATCTAGCCTAGCTAAAATAGCGCAGGGATCTTCAAGGGGCCAATTTAGCCCCGGCCCTTGCCCAAAGCTCTTGAAGGGTCAACTCAGAAAAAGACTGCCCATAAAAATTGGTCACTTGACACTTTTTAAGCACAGCGCATGGATCTTCAAGGGGCCAATTTAGCCCTGGCTCTTGCCCAAAGCTCTTGAAGGGTCAACTCAGGAAAAGACTGTTGATAAAAATTGGTCACTTAACACTTTTTAAGCACATCTCACACCATTACAACAACAACATTTTGAGAGGGCTACGATTTCACGAATAATACATTTTGAGAGGCCAAATACAACCTCTAGCCCCTGTCCTTTCCACTAGACTTGCTTTTAGAGTTTGGTTATTTAAGAGTGTAATGATAAATTTTAATTATAAGTTTAGTTGCATCTTGTCTTTAAAAGTAAATTGCAATTGTATAATACAATATAAAATGATTTCCATCGGTTGTGGAATCCTGCCCAATCCAACTCTCCTTAAAATGATTTAGGTGGTTTAGTTTCCGCATTTTCTTCAGTGAAAATGAGTTTCAATAATGCTAGCTCAAATTTATTGCGTTAGCTAACAAGTTGCAGTACAACTCGACAAACCCATGCAAAGCCTAGTGTAGAGACAAAAAACATGAGTTCAAATTAAATTTTATATATTTTCTAGTCTCATTTTCAAACGTCTCAAAACAAAAAAATAAAAATCTTCCGCTCATCTAATCTCATTTCCGATGATCTCAAAACACAGGAATGAAAATCTTACGCTCATCTCTATGATGAGTAGACATGGAGTTTAATTCTCAAATAACATAATATGTGAAGCAAACGTCATATTAGGATTGAAAGTCATGTTTATTAATTCATAATTTGAATTGGAAGAATTAATTAAATTGATGAGAACCGAGATTACGAAGTCCGAATCCGGGTCCGGTAATAAAACGTGGGCAAACGACTCTCGGGCAAAACCCGCACAACGTGGCATGATCTGAGAAGTGGTGTGCGCACTACGCCCCAACCCTACCCCAGAGACATCAACCCCTCGATAGCGCGAAGCGCGAACTGGTAACGGTCAAACCCGGCTTTTCGTTTCTCTCGTTCTTTCTCCTTCGGACATCGAGCTCGCGGAAGCAAAATTTTCGAACAAACACACCAGTAAATCACCGCCACCGCACTTTTAATCTGACGAAATTGCCCCTCGCGGGGTGGTCTCAGGGAGGAAAGGAGAGAGGAGCTGCGTCGCGCGCACTCCCCCGCCGTTTCTCTGTTCGATCATCAGTTCTTCAAAAATTTCGAAGAAAAGTAAAGCGTAATTTAAATCGCTATTAAGCTCGCCATGTCGATTCGGGAGCTGAGGACGTCTATGGTTTCGGTCAATTTGTTCACCTTCTGCGTTTTCCTCGGCTGCTTTCCAGGTAAATTTTCGTTATTTTCTCGGGAAACAAACAGGATGTGACGATTCGACGCCTGTTTCATGTGAAATCGATTTGCTTTTGCGTATGTAGGGCTTATATTATCGGCGATCGTGACGCTGGATTCGATCGTGATATACAACACGCACGAATTGATAAAGGCCGTGAAACCGAGGGTGTATTTCGAATGCAGAGGGGAGAACAAGACGGAGTTTCCAGACGTGAAGGAGAAGAACGTCACGTATAAATTCAACGGCGAAGAGTCTTGGCAGGTGAGAAAGATTTTCGCAATTTCGATTTCGTTTAAGTAATTTCTATTTGCTCTGTTTTACAATTTAGACTATAACATTGTGAGATTGGGATCATTCAATATGTAAAATAACTCGCGATGCTGATTGATGGTCTAACAACATAACATAGGCATGGCGATATATTTCTAGAGATTATTTGTATGTTTGTGACAGGAAGCTGTTGTTGAGCTAAATTTGGCTAGGTGTCTAATGGGATTACGATTGTTTTTGTGCTTTCAGCCACTGACAGAGTTTTCGGGTAAGAAGTGCAAGCGATGTGGACTGTACGAGGCGGATACCTTTAAACCAGATGACAAATTTGATGAGTGGGAGTTGTGTCCTTCTGACTTCAACGCCTCTGATGGAAAATACGTCCGGTTCAATAACAAGGAATTCAACGTTACCTTTTGGTGCCCAAAATGTGTACCTGGTTCACCTGGTGAGTGAGAGTCTGTGCAGTTACTTGTTTTTAGCCCATTTACTTCTTGCTAGTTTCATAGTTTTGGATGACAGGCTTTTGTGCTTAAACTGGTTAGAACTAAATTCACGTTCATTCCGCTTGTACCTAGTTTGGCAGTTTTGGAAAGCAAGGGCTTTTGTGCTTAAACTGCATCAAATTAAATTCACTTTTAGACGACATATAGATACCATTTATGGCCACAACAATTCCGTTAATATAAGTCAATCAAATGTATGGCTAGTAACCTCCGGTTGATTCTTATTTGCAGTTAAATGCATTTGTTAATGTGGGAATTTTCGTTTGGGTTTTTGGCGTCCATGCATTTGCATTTGTATTCAAGCCACTTTGTACTTAGTGTTCATCTTGTAATTCGAATTCATTTTTGTATGTGTTTGCAGCTTCCAATTCCCCTACTGCGCCGCATAAAGAAGAAAAGGAGAGGGAATGCATATTGTTCTAATACTTTTAATCGTTGTAGCCGTTTTGGCATTGTGTATTGTCGTTGGCTTTGTTGCATACAAGTACTGGCAAAAGAAGAAGAGAGAGCACGATCAGGCTCGTTTCCTAAAACTGTTTGAAGACGGGGATGATATTGAAGATGAAATGGGGCTTGACCATATAATCTGATTATAAACAGTTAATTTCTGTACCTTCTTTACAGTAAGTTCATCTTACAAAATTTTGCTGTTGTAAAAAGGAAAAGGAGAACAATGTTGAAGCTAAAAATATACTGTGCAGCATTTTACTTCGTCGAAATTACGAGTTATATGCTTGTGTTGGTACTGTCCGATGCACAAATGAGACATGCAAAAGATCAATGATCTCAAAGTTCATAATACTGTTGCCAAATCATTGTTCACTACATGTCTTTCGATTTATCGATACAAGCAAGGCCAGTAGCCGAAAAGACTCTCAAAAACGCTAATCTCTGGCACGTCGTACGGACATGTAACCCTAGTTTCTTGCCCAATGTAGTCTTGAGACTCCGTTTTCCCTCCACATGCAAACCAAAGATCGCTCCAAGGATTAGAAAGATCAGAAGCAGGGTGGCCTTCCTGAGTGAATTCTTCATGCTTCGGTTGACTTTCATGATGTTGTTCACTTTGCCTGGAGTCTTCTCTCTCGTTCAGCTCGGTGCCATCTTCATTGCTGTAAATTCCATTGTCAACGACGTAGCCATCTCGCCAACAGTCACCAAACGAGTACTGATAATCTCTAAGCCAGTTTCCACATCCGTAATATGGCGGCTCTTTGCCATCATAAGCCTCCTCCTCAAGTTCATCCTCGTTCCAGGCACAGCTTGGGAAATATTCACCCTCTGCCGTCCCACGCAATGGAGATGTTGCAGAAATTGGGTAGACAAAAGGGCATGGATACCATGTTGCATCTGACGACAGGTTTTCGCCATTGCCAGTAACAACGTAAGTGGTATCATATGGACTGAATTCGTTGTCCATTAGCTCGAGCCTTGTTTGGATTCAAGGCTCCAACGAAACTTGAACTTCAAGGATTCTAGAGTTGTGACAATGAAGGAAAGGCTAGAAAATATTATACTATGTGAAAAGGTTGTCTATTGATAAAAGAAAAGGGAATACAAGCATATCAGACTTTGATCAAGATTCCAATTTGATCTTCGAATTCTATCGAAAACTGCACTAACTTTGGCCGCCTGCTAGTCCTTTCCGGAATCAAATCCCTTCTTTTCGTATGTAAAGAATCAGAAAAGATTGCATCAAAATTTGGCCGGCAAAGCATCTTTATCGAATTTCTTCTGCACTGAGAAAAAAAAAAGAAAAAGGTTCACAGCTTCCACTTGCTGAGAAAGAATTTTCTCGGGGTCCAAACAGTCCCAATTACTATCAAAGTGGTTGGCAGCTTGGCATAGGACTTTCTAAAATTTCCCTACCAGAAAAATTCTCGCTGAATCCCATCTAACGAAGAACAGAAAGAAGTCGATATGGCGGAAAGGCGAAATGGTTCATTTCATTGTGGTTTACAATTACACATAACATATGAATTCCACCAGAGATGGAATCTGTAACATGACATTGAGTTGCATTCTAAATCACAATGATTAGCAACCGAAATCGAAATTATGGACCTAAGACAAATCGCCAAGACTTCACAGATTCTCAAGGGAGGCTGGTTGTGTCTTGATCCCCGTCAACGAAAATCGGGCGGTGCGCACGACGGATAAACCTGACAATCTCAGCAAACCGCCGGCGACGGTGGTTTGGCAATGCCGGAGACGCCACATTCTTGGTTCTTGGCCTCGCAGCATCATCTGTCAATGGAGGCATTGGCACCAGCGGCCCTTCAACGCCGTGAACAACGCAAGAATCGTCGACATGGAGATTCGGGGCGGTGACAAGAACGTCGTTGAACGAGACTCTTCTGCCGTCGGTGCCAAAAACAAGCCGTGTGTTGTGAGCAGGGAGGGTGGTGTTGAGCGGGAGCTTGAGGAGGGCTTGGTAAGGCAGGGCGCCGGAGGTGTAGACGTGAGCGCGGAGGGTGGTGGGGCCGAGCACCTTGCCTAAGAGGGAGTCGTCGGGTGGCACGAAGCAAGTCACTCTGGCGGCGGGGGTGGCGGTGATGTTTTGGGAATGTAGAGCGTGGGCGAAGATTGTGAAGCCGGAAGACGAGAGGGAAGTGAGCATGGCGTCAGAGCAGACGGCTTCGATGGCGGGAGTGATTGCTGCCAAGAAGGCTAGGAGGAGTAGAATCGACATGGCTGGAAATTTGGAGAGGGAGGGAGAAAGGAAAGGTTTCCTGAACTTGTTGGAAGAGTGGAGGTGGTGGTGGTGGTTATGAATGTGGTTGAAATAACGGTTTTAACAGACTGGTGGACTTGGACAAAGCGCGAGAGTTTTTACTGGCGTCAAATCATACGTCCACGCAAATTTCTCACGCCCCTCACTCTTTGAGCGCTTAATCACAAAATCCCCACTTGTGAATGTATTTTTCTAAGTCTCTAACGCATTTGAAAACGTCGTTTAGGGCAATTGGTCAATATAATGTTCTTATATGCTTGTATTTGAGTTCGAACTAGTATACCCTCCTTGTTCACCTGTGTCTGATTGGGGTGCGGTTGGTTCTTCAAGAGGATCGCCCCAAAGCCCGTTTCTCGTAAATTATAGTAATCTAGAATATTTTAGTGTTAGCATGGTTTACTCCACTAAAATAGATAACAAATGCAACAAAAATAACAATAATAATAATGAACAAAAGGCAATGTTAATCAAGTTGAGTTCTTTCTGCAGTATCAATTCATTTCAAGATGATTTTGGTACATAAAATTGGGGAAAGCCTCAACATTGTACATAAGTGCTGAACATAAAAGCACACACAAATAAGCACTTTTGAATCCGAATTCATCGTCGCTTTCGACGAGCCTACATTGTTCCTCTCAAAACCTGCAGGTGCTGAAAAACTCGCAACCGATTGAGGAACTCCTGAAGGTCCATCAAAATTGAAGCTCTGCCAAAATCTGTTCACCTCCATGCCTGAAAGCCTATTGATTTGCAGCTAAGCCTGTCACAATTAGCGGTGCAAATTGCACTACATTTAACTAGTAGTGCTGCTGGAGCTCTCTACTGCACTGTTGAAGTTAACCAACTCTTTGGAATGGGGACCGTAAACTGATTTAATTGTGTCCCTGCAGCTCCTACAACCAAAGCATTGAAGCATGAGCCAAATTAGAAATGAAAATACGCACAAATAGAACCGGTCCAAGCGTCTCTAAAATAAAACCGGACCGACACTAATGTCGTAGTGTCCCTCGAGTTCTATTAGTGAACAACCGTTTGTAACGAGTTTTATTTGTGTGTATTTTACGAAACTAATTAGAGACATAAATAATAATAAAAATAAGACCACCTGCAGGCCTCCTTGTTGAATTTCTTCTCACTAAACCCATACAAGGACTGAAACACCTCTGCCTCCACACGGCAAAAATATGGACGTTCTGTCAGGACACCTCAAAAATCGAAGTAAGATAACAATCCATCCAATACAAAACGGTGCGTTTCAAATATAACCAAAGAAAAAAGCCTCACCGTCGTAAATCGAACACTTTCGCGTGCTTTTATCAAAATTCACACACCACCCATCTTCTCCGACCATGCTTCTGTAAAGCTGAAATTCATACAAATCAAACTCCAAATTTTGACGAAATTCATGAATTTCTCGGAGATTTTGAGAAATCAAACCTCGATGTCGGAAGGGTTGGTGAAAATCTCTTCCGGGGTGGCAAAGGAGGGGCCTTTGTCGAGTTTGCAGCAAGCTCCGCAGCCCTCCACGCACTGCCACTTCTGCTCCTTCCTTTTGGCTCCGAACCCGACACTCGTCGGCGGTGTCGGATTCGGGACCCGGGTTTTCTTTTCCTTGGCCTTCTGGCGTGGCCGGCGCGCCATGCTCACTATGTCAAGACAGTGCAGAGCCACCGCGTTGGACATGTTTGGATAAGAGTTAACGGTGGCGGTGGTTTCGGTTTGTTTGGTAACTTGGACTCACAGCGGTATACATAATCTATTTATTTCCAATCACAAGTTTGCCCTTGTTAAAATACGGAGCTTCAACAATTACTCTCTACAGCTAAGGGTGTTATAGTAAATTCGAAATTTTGCCTATGTAAATTTATCAAGGACGCATTTCAAATCGAAAATAGGATCTTGCTTATTGGAAAATTATATGCAAATAATGTGGAGAATGGGCAATTAAATTATATTATATTGCTGACGACGTTTTATCACAATGACAGAATACAATTATGTTTATGTTTTTTGACTCCATGATTCATCTATTCTTATTAAAACTAATTATCTAACTACAACAAGTGGTTCAGCAGCAAGAGCGCATACAATGCTTTATCATTACATGACCAAATAGTTAACCAACTTAAGGGTTCATTTCAACTAAAGTTACAAAAATAAAGTCGCAAACCAAACAACCCAACAACCGCCCTATCTCACCACCCACTTCGTCGCCGGCACCCTCCTTCGTCCTCGCCGTGGAGCACCATATATGGTGTCAAGGTGACGTTCACACAGATCCGAGTTACGTCAGGCAGTGCATCTGCATTACGACACACTAGTACTGGATTATTGATTGACGGAACATTTGACATTTGACGTGTGCTTATTGTAACTACGGCTCTTTCTTTGTAATTATGTTGTCTTGGTAATGAATTCATAATTGTCTTTGTACCTGAGACGAGCTGTGGGTCTTACACTTAGAGAAGACGCAACAAGCACATATCGAACTCATTCATACAATTCAAAATTGGTTGCATTAGGTACATGCTGAAGAAGCATCTCAACTCCCAAGATTTGTAATGTAGAGTGCGCAATCCGATTGTAGGTACGGACTATTGCGATCATTGTTTGTTTTAGCCCAAATTCGCCATGTATCACAACAGTGCAAATCGCATAGCGAACCGGAAGAAAGAATAATTTCTTTTCACCATAAAACGAAAGAATACGAAGATCCATTGCGTAGCGGTAGACATTCATTCGAAACTTGCACGATGTAGCTTGCTGTATAGAATTAAGTTGTTTTCAGCCCAAAATATATGTTCCTTCGTTATGCGACAGAAACCCGAATTCTGAATAACAAGATACATTTTTACTAGACTGTCCGACAACACAACATATGACCAAAACTAGTCCGACAAGAAAGAGAGAATACCAAGTTAAATACAATCAACAAGAAAACTAACATTTATATTAAAGTTTACCCGAGCAAATGACATTTCTTTTCCCCAGAACCCTAAGGTGACTCGCTGCCTCTGGGAGTGCGACGGTTGTCATCATCATAATCAGCGACGGGGCTCCGATCAGGACTGGGACTGCGACCGCGACCATCGGCTTACAGAAGGGCTTGGATACTTCCTGACAACAGGGCTGTCTCTACCAGGGCTAACAGGACTTCTGCTCTTTAACCTGGGGCTAACCGGACTTCTACTTCTTACCCTAGGGCTGTAATCAGAGCCCTCTTTCTCCATTTCCATCCTACCATTTCTGGGGGAAGGGCTACGTCTCCCACGAGGACTGTCTACATCAGGTGTCAGGCTGCGCTTCCTCCCTCCTTTTGAGGGCAGTGGACTCTTCCTGTAAGAAGGGCTCCGTGATCTGTCATAGCGATCCTCACTTCGCCCTCTCCTTGCTGGGGACCTTGAACGGCTGCCATAAAGAAATGATCTGGTTGATAAATATAAATATATGGAATATGTAGACGTATCCCAAGGAAAATCATGCATCTGAATCTAAGTTTGTTTAACATCAAGCCTTCCATACCCCAATCACGTAATTCGCTTAACTCACTACAAAAGTCCAGATAACTAAAGTAAGATGTGTAGGATGTTGGCATATAACCATATCAAAATTAAAAATAGCACATGCTCTAATATCATAAAATTCCTCATAGAAATTATCAGGATCGAGAGCATACTCACCTATAGCTGCGGCTTCGGCTGTAACTTGGGCTACGGCTTCTTCCACGGCGAGAACGTGATCCAACTGGTGAGCGACTCCGCCCGCGACTGAAATACAAGTTGAGCAATGTGAAATAAAGGCTGCTGCAGATATTCATCCAAAAATAGGGAAGAGGAATAACAACAAACAATGAAAAAAGACTTTATAACAAGTACCAACCTTAATTCCTTTGGACTATTTTTGCACTGCCTTTCAATATGGCCTCTTTCTCCACAGCGATAGCACTTATTCTTCCAGTCCCCAGCCTTGCAATCACGAGCCCAGTGGCCGTCAATGCCACAATTAAAGCAACGTCCAGATCCAGGAGTAGGACCTCTGCCTAAATATTCCCGCGAACCACGTGGTGCCTTCTCCAAAGTAACAAAGAAAAAACTATCAGTCTGATACAATAAATGAACAAACACAAACCTGAAAAACTAACACAACAATATAAGGGGGCGTAGATATGACAGGATTTAGGTGGAAGATCAAACAAGATTAAGAGTACAGTAGCTAGGCAAGCAACCACGAAAGTACATGGGGCATTTTAATTCAAATTGAAACAATCCAACTATAACATGTATAGGTATTTTACTCGGAAAGAAACATCCAGCTAATAAACTTACCCCTTTTGCAAATTCTACAATGAGACGACTTCCATCAAATTCCCGACCATCTAAGCTATATCTTGCATCATCAGCATCTCGAGGATCACTAAAGTCCTATTATCAGAAGGTGAGAGCAGAAGCCACAAAAGGAACCATCCATATTTGGGTCATATGATCCATAAGCGGATCTCAAGAAAACATTGTAAGCAAAAAAATCAGAAAGAAGAGGAAATAAAAACTTACAACAAAAGCAAACTCCCGCTTCATGTCCACATCACGTACTCTGCGTAAACGGTTTCCAGAAACAGTAAGGCTATCATTACTTTAAGAACTTCAAGTGTATGATACTTCGCCCGTCACAGACAAACTAAACACCAGATTGAGACTGTTGCCATTTCGATAAAACAAGCAATAAGACTACAGAAAGAATCGCCAAAGTCTCCTATACACTCGGCAAGATTTTCCACCAAGGCCACACTCGGCAAAATTTCCACCAATTCCACCAAGGTCACCCTCCCACCATAGACCTCCAAGTAAGGCCACCAAACCCAAGAAACCTTCAACAAGATCATTCAAGTTAAGAAAACACTTGGGGCTAAAAGCTCCCACACACAAGCTGAAAAGTTACATTAAACCAAGCACTAAAGCAAGCTTGGCAAGAAACCAAAAGGTCCCCAACCTTTTGGTGGAATATTTTGACAGCTCTTACAAACTGATCATGATTTAATAGATTAGTTTAACATTACATTTAAGTAATAAGACGCATTAGGATAACCATTGTGATATCAAATAAATTGGATAAACAGCAATTTTGTCACTCAAATCGCATTCTAAAAATAGACCTTAGTTATTACCTTCCATATCTGTTGAACAGCCGTTCTAGATCACGTGAACGTGTGCGCGAAGACAACCGACCAACATAAAGACGGGTGTTGCCATATCGATCATCATAACGAGGCATTGTCAAGCTGCAGGAAAATTCGTTATCATTATAAGCACCAGGCCCTATGTGAAACCTTGCTAAAATTTCAAAATCAGTAATTTAACATTAATATAATAAAACAATAAACAGCAGAACATCTTAACACTCTCGATTGTATCGATTAATGAATTTTCGAAACGCTAACAAGAAAAAGACCCAAATCATTAGTATCCACAAAATTTGAATGGAACCCAATAAATATTCACACTACACCAATTCTTCATCTTGAGCAATCCAACCATAAACCAGCCCTAAAGACGCGCTTTGCTTTCACAAATAAGAATCCCTAATTAGTAATTACAACCGGTAATTAACCTCGAAACAAACCCACAGAATCCACTAATATGTAGCTCAACGCAGAAATTCTAAAGAAAATTATCGCATAAACATATCGAATCAAATTTGAACACCATCATATGGAATAAAAATCCAAAATTTGTGAAAAAAATTCCCCTGAGAAAGAATAATAAACGAGAAAACCTTAAAAAATTCCTAATTTTATGTTGTTACAGGTGCGTACCTTGAATGCTTACAAAAATCCCCAAATTTCGATGTAACCCTAATCACGCTCGCGGAACACAGTGAGGGAGAGTGGGGGACTCCGCATAATTTATAGAACGAACCGACCGCTTGGACGGCCACGATACGTTTTCAATAATCGAACGGTTGTAAGGAAGTAGGACGTGTTTTGGGTACGTGATATTACCGCCAAACAGATTATATTGGGCCTAAAATGGGCCTGGCCTTTCTGAATCAGTACAAATAGAGGTTTATTACAACGCTCGATCCCTAGTTTTGGTAACCACTCATAAAAAGCACTTCCGCTAGAAGTAACTTTTCTTGTGAACACATTGAGATTTCTATCAAAAATCCAAAAGCCCTTGAAGGTGCTTTCTAAAATAGCACATGACGGGTGCTTCTTAAAAATCTTCCACGAGCCACAGCTATAACACTGTTTGAATTGGAGAAATAAATTTGGAATTTGGGTAAAATTAGAATTCATAAAAAGCACTTCCGCTAGAAGTAACTTTTCTTGTGAAGTAACTTTTCTTGTGAACACATTGAGATTTCTATCAAAAATCCAAAAGCCCTTCGAAGTGCTTTCTAAAATAGCACATGATGGGTGCTTCTAAAAAATCTTCCATGAGCCAACTATAACATTGTGTTTGAATGAGGGAAATAAACTTAGAATTTGGGTAAAATTAGAATTTATAATTGACATGCACCAATCTCCTTGTTTGGATTCATAAACATAGAAATTTAGACTTTCCGCGTGAAAAAAAAACCTTAGAATTTGGGACCTCCAATTCTCAAGTTTAAATTCTATGTAAATAAGTGTTGTTTTTCAATTTCTATGATTGAAAGTTTAAAGATAACAAATTTCATATTCAATTCCAATGTTCTTTTAGATTAACCAAATAAGAAAATTCACAAATTCTAAAAATTAAATTTCCGTCATTTTAATTTCCATCAAACTTAAAATTCGTTAACAATCTTAAGTTTCATCTCCCAAATATAATATAAGCGAATTTGACAGTCAATACGTGCTTTTAGAAAAAGTGCTCACAAGCATTCAAAAGAGCACCTTTATTTAATTAAACTTTCAACGCGTTTCTAGTGAACGACGATTCTTACACAATGTGCTTATGAGCCTGGGAAGAAAATTCCACTGTATCTACCACGTTACAGAACTTTGCACATGTTAGCCTGGTAGACCAGACTTTTACGGATATGAAGGGGAAAGTTAAACCAGTTTTCACAACCACAAAAATGTTTACTGAACACAGAAACAAAATAAATAAAACCTAGCAAAGATATTTGGATCAGGGGCTCTGCTTATGCAAAAGTTGAAACCTGGTTGTCCATCTCTGCACAAACTTCAGGATCATGATAACGAGAATTACCGGAAATGCAACTGCCAAAGCCACCGCTCGTTCTAGCTCAGGGGCACAACACGGGATACTTGAACAAAGAACAGCGCATGGAGGATCAAGAAGTGCGGGCCAAATGAACAAATGAAACAGACATGACTGTGAGGAAATGAAACAGACATGACTGTGAGGAACCAGGAGTTTATCCATGGGGCATTGGCACAAAACTTCCGTCCTCAGAAAGCGTGAGGGTCCGAGAGAGTTGAACATTTTGATGGGGATCAACACGAAGAGGGACACCATGGAAATCATCACAGGGGTTATCATCAAAGGAGAAAATCTGAAACTATCCCCAATTCGTGAGCTGGGATTATGTGACACAGGGGGAGCCATCCCCACTGAGATTAAGACTGGAGAAAAACCATGTGTATGCCAAATAACGAATATGCCGACAGTTGCCAGTCCAGCGTACATCCCAATCCTGTCCAACATAATCAAGTTTCAAGTGAATATTAGTGAGAACATTCTCAGGTGACCTCGTACAAAAAGAAGTAACAAAATGCAACAAGTCGGAAGAAAGAAGAAAATCAAACTTAAGCTACCAAATAAGGGAATTATAACAAGCACTGAAAAGTATGATTGAACAAGCGAAAACAACTAGATAAATACCTCAGTTCCAGAGAAATGCCCCATTGCAATCCCAACATCAGCAAGCTTCAAAGCAGGTGCATCATGAACTCCACCAGTGGCGGTGATAGAAGTGAACTATATTTGGCGAGCATAATGTGGCCTAAAATACTTTTCCCTTAGAACAAAAATGATTTGAAAGATAAAAGTGTTTCACGTCGTGGAAATTTTATCTCTTCAAGTTCATATATATATATATATATATATATATATATATTATATACGATCTGTACAAACTGGGATTAAGCATTGCAGATTAATACCCCTCTAACCTTTCTATGACTACATCCATTCTAACATATACAGAGCTTATTGTAACATGGATCATATAGGCCATATTTTCTCTTTGCTTAATTCGGAACTATTATAATAGCCAACCTGCTAATATTAGAAAGGAGCAATGACGTCTGAATTGGTGACCATCTCATCAACGTCCCCTCTCACCATCAAGTATACTATAAAAGCAAACACAAAATTTACCCCAGAAAGTTGCTACTTCCAGAACTACCCACGCCAGAAGGTATATCACGGACCATGAACTTAGCACAACGCTTTCCGATGTCATCCAGTATCTCAAGACACTCCTGCAAATCTGCATCGCTGACTAACATCACCCATTCCTCTTCATCATCCAAATACTTGAGTTGGAATGTCCCATTTTGCAACTTCAACCTCTTTGCAACCTCTTCATACAGTTGAAGGCACCCAAGAGAAGGCTCAAACTTGAACCTGATTGTATCCTCTTTATAAGTAGCTTTCACGATTATTTTTGACCCATTCTCTGCAGTGCTTGTCTCGACTTGTGGGTGCTTTTGCTCCTCAAAGCTCTGAGTGCTTGATGAGTATCCCTGCATTGTTGAACCAAAGTCATTCGATGAATCCGTCAAGCTCGAAGAACTATGTTGGTTATATTCAACAATCCCATCATCTCCATGTACTCCAATGTCCATCTCATCAGCAGGAACCAAGAAGCTTGAGTTCTGAGACACAAAGTGGCAGTCAGAATTGTCTAACCTTAGACTGTTTTGGATGTGACCCCATTTATTAACTTCTTTTGCAAGATAAGAGCCCTTCAAATCAGGTGTGATCCCATGGTTAGTAGGATCGCATGATCCAAAATCCATTGCAATCGGCTTAGAGTCCCCTTGAGGCATGAAAGGGATGCTCTGTGTCTTTACCTCTTTCTCATGAGAAGTTGGAACACAATTCCCATCCTCTTCCAATTTAACTGTCAAACTCTCACCATTATTGTAGGACATTGAAGGCATTGAAATGGGATGTTGGGCAACTGACTCAGAGTTCTCAATAAGCAGGTTCTTCTCAGGAAATAAAAGATTTTTTGGTGCATCAACTTCTTGGATGATGGATCCTGTTGCCACAAACCCCCCAGTAGTTGGGTCATACTTCAATCCTCCCTCCACCCCCTGAACAGAATCAAGCACCGTCTGTATTTTCCGCAATGAACGGTTCACCTTATTTATTTTACGAGATGGCCATCTTGAGATCCCATGTTGTCTGCAGATCCTTTTTAGCGTAGTGGGACAAACTGCCAAAAGCCAATGATATGTTAAGTGAAGAAATCCTTTTAAATAATTAGCAAGAATTATACTTAACAATGAAACGATAATTTGCATGGAAACTTGACAGTAAATGTTTGTTTTCTACATGGAGTCATGGACTGGCTAGAGCATGGAGGAAAAATATAATTTTCTGTAAGAAAATAATAAAGGCAGAAAAATAAGCTTCATTTGTGCCTTATCATAAAAAAGTTTATAATTAATAGAGAACATGTGAAGTTATTTATTAAAACGAATTCATAAGATAAAACCTCATATGGATTCTTAAAAAGTAGACTCCTTATACATGACTCTCACCTCCTATACTTTTTGCAGCATCCTTGAGACTCCCAGAGAAGTACTGCTGTAAAACACTCAAGCTTACATTTTTCTCCGCTGTACTTCGCTTTTTCTCCGCCTGCCTTATTGACCCACTCGGTGCCTATACAAGGAAGAAGAGTACAAAAAAGTTATCCCTCCAACAATATTTCTCAAGTGAGAGCCAACGAAAAACCATTATACAATAAAAACATAGCATTCCAGGTAGGGATAATAAGGACCCTTTGCAGTGTTTCCATATTTACAAAAGCAAATACACGGAGATGTTTAATTTCAACCGGCAGAAAGAAACATAAGGATAATGTTGGTCATTATTGGGACTTAATGCAGAGCAGAAAAGATGAGGTCTGTCTCAAGGAAGGATTACACATAAGATTACTACATAATATTTATGTTGGATGTTCCTAATCTTTAAAGGCATAAAAAATAAATCATCTTGATATTATATCCAGCAGCTTCTTTCAGAAAGTAACTTTAAAGGCAACAATCTTGTCAAACGGAGGGCAAAACTGTTATGATTTCTTGGTTCTACAATACTTTCCATTGAGAGTTACATCTAATTGTATCTACAGAATTTATTTTTCTATTTATGTTTTAGAACAATGGACAATAAACCTCCATTCTCGTTATAACTAGTAGTTCCTACAATATGTACTAGATAACTAACAAAAACTCAATAAGACAAAAAAATATCTCCATCATTATAACTAACAAAAACTCAATAAGACCAAAAAATATCTCCATCACTGTTTCAAATTAAACATCATAAAAACTATAAAAGTTCTCTAAAGAAACTGAAACAAGTGAATTATCCACAATATTGTTCTTTTATAAAAGCAATACCTGTTTAGGAGGATTAACTCTTTCGATTCCCCTATTTCTTTGATTTAAAACATTAAAGGTGACATTTTCAGCTGAATTCATTTCATTATCTGACAGTGTTGTCTGAAAATTTCTTTCTGGGATATTAGGGCTTGTCTCCTTCTGAAACCCAGTGTTGGCGCCTCCTAACCCAACTAATTCTGCATCTGAAACTGTCCTTAAACTCTTACAAATTCTCTGCATGGTACCTGAGAGGTTGTTTAACAGAAGTTGTTGTTCTGTACTCCCCTTCACATTGACAGGGAGAAAAAACTCCAATATATAGTCATCATCACCGGTGTAGGTGCTCCTTAGCCTAATTGCAACTGCGGCGTTCAAACCATACTTGCGTGCATGATGAACAAGTGGATATTCATATATATTATACGCTTTAACATCATTAATGAAGAATGGATGATTTGATTGCAGTGCTTTACCAGCAATTCCCTCCCCTTCCTCAAGATGATGTTCCGCACATGCATGCACAAAGCCTTGCATTCTTCTATCATTTACATAACAAGCAGTTTCCTCAATGCAAAGTATACATTTCTCATCTGAATTTGTAAAACCCCCTTTAACACGTACTCTTTTAATTCCATCACCATCTCCCTCAGAGTAGCAACAAGGAATCCAGGTCATAGCCAATGGCAATAAATGTGCATGGCATATAGCACGCAAGACATCATTTATTTCAGTTAAAGCAGCTCTTTGGTTCTTTGAGAGGCACTGCAAGCAAAGGTTCTCTCATAAGAAGTGTAGAAAATAACAAAAAAAATAGATAACATATTCTGATATGTACCTGGGGAAGAAGTCGGAGAGGCGCATTGGTCTTCAAATTAACGGCCTGCACATAGCCATCAAAATATATTAATTTTTACACTTAAACATCGACAACAATAATCAACATATGTGAAACATATAGGGTAGTACAATTTGTAATCTTGGGAAGCACCTCACAACAATTAGTAAATGTAACCTTTTGGAGCATTCATTACATCTACTAATTCTACTAGCACGAACCTAAAAGTTTAACAAAGAGAAGAAAAAGGATTTGCATCAATCATCTGCATATGGTACATGTGTGCTGCTACACGAGAAGAGAGAAACTGACCTGAAGTGCACTGCAAACTATTTCCATCTCCGTATCGAAATTGGGTTTCTCTTTTGTACTGACAAGTTCCAATACAGCGCAACATGAACTTTCCAGGTCAAAATCAAAAATCGGTAAGGCAATTGATCCACGAACCTGATGATTAGCTGCATGATCCACCCGCAGGTACTCAGTCTTATTGTAAAAACTAACATTTGAAGTCCACTCTGGAGTTTTGGAGACAAATACACGGCCAGGAAGACCCAAGATAGAACCCTGTTTTTCTTCTGCAGAGAACGTAAACATCCTTGAGACTTCACGATACCCTGTAAGAATATGGTCAAGCAAATAGGGTTGCTCACAAGTGCTTAATAAGTATTGATCACCATGCTTCATGGGAACCCATAATTGTGCTAAAATACCCCCACCAGAGGTCTCTTTAAACATCGACAATGCCTTAAGCATCTTCTCATTGAGTGACAATCCAGGTGGCCTATAGATCATATAGTCTTCCATGCCCATGACATTATTCTGTTGAAAAGACCCATTATTTAGCTTAACAATTGAGTCATTAGCATCATTGGAATCTGTTGAAACACCATATTGGGGGGTTCCCATGTGCTCAAACACAATTTTGTCTCCACAATTGAAACTTCCCCCAACATTGAAAGTTCCAGCACCACTCGTAACTAGCAATTGCTCACCATTATGTTCTACGAGATTCAAGGCATCCAAGGGTGTATAGGTCACTGATGGACATGATGGCATCCCCAAAGAGGCTGCAATCTGGTCCGTTGCTGCTGGGCTGCACCATCCAGCATAAGTGTCAAAGTTCATGAGCTCAGAAATGTTATTAAACATATCCTCTGAGATCGGGTTCCTTGTTCCATCGTCAAACGATGCCAAATTCTCAACCTGAGCTCTGGCAGAAGCCCAGTGATCATTTCCCTTATCTTTAGGCGAAAAGTGATAATCCATATTCAGATTAAAACCCAAATTTGATCAAAAATGACTACTGCTAAAATTTGACCATATAACTATACGTGCATTGCAATTAGGCACTACAAGCTGCAGAAAAAAAAGCACTAAGCCTGGTAAGCATGGAAACCCTGCTACAAATTTCAGATCCAGTTATCTAACACTAACGATAAGGATATATTAAAAACCATAGCATATTAACACTATCAGTTTGTATCTATTAATGAATTTCTCAATACACTAACATGCATCTTTTCGGACCAAACTCATTACTCTAGTTAACAAAAAAAAATGAATAATAAGGGCTCATTTGAGCATCCAAAAGTTTGAAAGGAACCCTATAAAATTTGCTTAAAATTAAAAGTAAAAATCATCTACTCATACAAAACTCATTACTTCAGTTAACAAAAAAAAACCATGAACAAAATAAGGGCTTGTTCGAGCAACGAAAATTTAACAATGATCTATTCAGACCGAACTTATTGCTTCAGTTAAGAAAGAAACATGAACAAACAAGCACTTGTTTGAGCATCCAAAGTTCAGTGGAACCCAATAAATTTTTGCTTAAATTAAAAAAGTTAAAAGACTAAACATCAGTTATTCATCTTTTTATTCGGTGGAAATCAATTCTTCATCTGAATAGTCCTAACAGTAAACCACAACCAAATTTTCACAAACAACAACTTTAAAGCTCTAATTACATTCCCTAATCAAATTAACAAACAAAACCCAGCATCTGTTAATCTCTAACTCAACATATCAATTCAAACCGCACGAAACCAATCAAAACCCCAACAAGTTAAATAAAATAAAACTTCAAAATTTGCAAGCTCACCAACATACTACTGAATAAAACACGAAGAAACCCCCAAAACAAAACCCTAATTTCTAAAAACTTGCATATTTATCAAACGCGAGTACCTTGACTGGTAAGAAAAATCCCCAAATTTTCGCTTGCGCCCTAACAACGCTTCCGAACTGGCAAAGAGAAAGGGAAATGATTCTGTCGTTGCGAGTTATAGGACGAACCCACTGGGTGTACGGTCAGGATGCGTTTGCTTTGATGGGAGGGTCGAGATTGAAGAAGATTAAACAAAATTGAATATTCCGTTGGTGACATCATAACGCCAGATATCGGTGTTTGTGACATCATAACGCCAGATATCGGTGTTTGTGACATCAACCGCAAATTCCGCTATTTGTGATACCGCCAAATTCCGCTGTTTGTGACATCACCACTGCCAAATGTAACTTTTTTCTGTCAAAAATTCCAATTTTGTTTGTAGTTTCGTAGGCCAATTCATTGCATTTGGTCCAGTTCTGACGATCCTTATCCTCGACGAAATTCAGAGTTGGTTTGATAATTATTTTGTTTTTAATCATTAAGTTTGGATCATTTTTTGATATAAGTGTCTTCATTTGTGTTTGGGATATCAAATCTTACGACATGGTATACCTTGAAAAGGGTTTAGTTGATTCACTACTTATGTTTCGTCCTTCGTTTTTTTTTTTTTTTTTTTTTTTTTTTTTTTTTTTTTTTACTGTGTGTTTCCATACGTTAATTTTACTTCAAATTCCTATCAATAACATGTCTCAATGCTGACTATCTACTCATTTTAATAAGCAAGTTAGGTACCTCTTAAGGGGAGAGGCGGATGCATTGAGAGGCAAGGGGGGTCAGCTGACCCTCTGAATTTCAGTAAATGTCTACGAATAACTTGAGTGTTAACCCTCCAAACTTCGGTGAATGTCCATGGATAACTTGGGTAGTGCCCCTTTAAAGATTGGAATTAGCTTCATACAGGCCCTCCAAATGTAATAGTGGCTCTTTTTCTTTTTCTTTTTAATAAATATTATTTTGTCAAAACAATATAGTTTCTGAGCCTTAGTTTAATAAAAATAAATAAACACAAAGAGCCAAAAAAATAAATGCATCGATGATGGATATGTCACTCGAGGGAGATCATGGCTTAGAGCTCAAAGAATCACAAACTTCCATCATTATCATGTGGAGCTCCTTGTTGCTATCGTTGATAAGCAACTTGTGGAATTAAATAGTTGCTTGATGAGGTAAATACATAGTTGCTTCTTTGTTTAGCAAGTTTGAGCCCGGATGATTCATTCTCGGCTTTTGATGAACAAAAGCTAATATGTTTTGCTCATTTTATCCTAATGAATTTACTACTTGTCAACTCTTGGCACTTGAAGATCAACTTGGGCATTATATTCTTGATATGCGTTCAAGTAGTGAATTTTCTCAATTGAAAGGAATTGGTAGCCTTGCAAAAAAAAAAATTGGTGGAGACGGGAAGGAATAGTGTATATAATCATGAGTATTTGCTAATTACATTGGCTTTAGTTCTACCAACTGCTACTGCTTTCGTGGAGAGAGCTTTTGCCATTATAAATATTGTGAAGATTCCATTGTTCAACTGAATTGAAGATCAATGGTTGAGTGATAGCATGGTGGTTTATATTGAGTGCAATGTTTTTTCTTCTATTGACAATGAAGCTATAATGCAACGTTTTATGAAAACATGTCGGAGATTATTGTAACTTGTATTGTTATTTGCTCTATAAGTTATGAATGGTGGAACTATGGTTTAATTTTAAAGGTTATTAGATGTCTAAAAAATATTTGTAAACTTTTACATGTGACCCCCCGAAATATTTTTCTTGGATCCACCACTGCTTGAGGGTAAGGTTTCTGAGATTGAAACGGTTGGGGTCGGTGCTGGACGAAGGACATCTAGATTATGATGAGAAAGTATTCAATAAAAATGATGAAAATGTTGTCATAGCATTCTAATACATATTGTGATTGTGTAAATCCTAAGTAGAGATATATTAGGAATATTTTGAGATCTAGAAGATTTTTCCTATTAGACTTTAAATTCTTGGAGAGTAAGTTTTCCTCCTCTTTGTTACTATAAATAACGGCATAAGGACTGGAGAATAACAAAGAATTCCTCAAGCTTATTCTCCACTCTCCTTCTCTCCATGTTACGCCCTTTTTTTCTCTCAATTAAATATAAGCTACAACAAAAAAATGAATGAAAAAAATCTTGAAGTTAAAATAGTTAGGTTTTGGTTTTCATTTTGTACCTCCTCATATATTTCTTTTACATCTCTCCAACCTATCTTTTCTCAACTTTATATGTCATTCCTCCCATGTACTTCTTCCTTATCCTTAACGGAAAATTAAAAACAAACTATTAAAAATGAAATAATTATTAAACAAATCATAAATAAAAATGGTTCTTTATACAAACAAAAATATATTGATAAATTTTCTCAGCTAACTAAGTTAAAATCTCTTGCTAAATAAATAGATAAATGAGTTGGTAAAGACGAACAACCTATGTCACTAGCACTAAGATTTAGTATTATTTATCTCAATTTTTAAGTAAAAGTCTCATGTTTAACTTTTATAAATGATAAATTTGATACAATTATAATTAGAATTAGTGTGCGACTTAAGTCAAATCAATCTCCTACGTCCAATATCATTGTATATAAGGAACAGCCTATTTCTATATATTAATTAGTATGAAACATGAGCATTATTGGGAATAGGATTCAAATTCTTCTTATTTTGTTACATGGAGAGAGTGTAAGCGGATTAAGCGGCAAGTGTTTTACAACTGTCCATTGAAATTAAAAGCTTGGCAAAACGATTATGTATTATTTAACAACTTAAGTCCGTTGACATTTAGTAATACGGTATTGTAGTATTGCTCTTCACTTGTAAGGAAGAGGTATTAGGTTCAATTCTGGCAAGCCAATTAGAAGGCTTAACTCACTTTCCCACTTAATAGTAAATACTATCGTTTGTTGAAAAAACAAAAAACAAAAAACTTAAGCCCGTTTTGATAATTATTTTGTTTTTAATTGTTAATTTTTAATTTTGTTTTATATAACCATGCATATATAATTGCATTAATCTAATTATGTACATGCATGTCAGAACTTTAAACCCTTTGCTTTGTTCGTCGAAAAGTTTCGTCACATACCTTGGTTAGGTAAATTTAAGTTGGCCTTGATGTAATGACTATTTTCCTTATGGAATTTCTGCAGAATTAAACCACTTGTATAGGTGAGACTTGTGTGCTCCATTAGAGTTGGTCATAATTAGGTTTATGGATTACGCATTGCTGGTAAGTATATATAATACATATATAAATGAGGCAGATTCGTGATACCATTTTTTTACATAATCTTTTACACATGTTTTTGTGACGGTTACTCTATAATGTATTTTAACGATTTGAATCATCTATCTTTAGAACATCATTCATACATTATCCTTGCAAAAAATTAGATAAATCTAAAATCATTAAGACATTCATTTGTAGTGAAGAAAATGGACAAATACGGTTCAACAAATAAACCATAAACCATTAATCCAAATGTCATATAGTTTCAGATTTTGGTCATTTTAGGTAGATATGACCTTTAACGAAAACCTAAAATATAGAATTCAAATCATTAAAATACATTATTATGTAACCTGCACAAAATATGTGTCAAAATTGTGTAACAAAAATATACCTCGGAGCTGCCGCCATATAAATATATAGTGGAGCTCGCACAGTTGTCAGCTAATAAATTGATTCGGAACTAATCCCTCACCCAAGCTTACGGCTTACCTCATATTTTAAGAGTATGGTTTTATGATAGAATGTTGGGCTAATTACACTTCACATCCTTCAGTTTTGGGTGATATTCACAATGAAACATGAGGTTTAATTTTTTTTTTCATTTTGCACCATAACGTATTGAAATAGTATCAACAGACTTTGGTGTGATTGGTTGTTTGATCATTTATTAAATTAATTACATGATGAGCGTGAAAATCTTATATGGACTAATACGTAAGCCACATTTGTACCACATTGACAAAAAAAATTCATCAATTTGACGGAGCATTAGATGTTTAAAGAGACAAAAATTATGAATTGATATATTTCAAAACCTCAAGATCCAATGTGAAAAAAATTAGAACCTTGTGTCCCGTTTTAAAAATCACTTCAACTATAGAATTTTCGTATACCCATGTACTATTAGCCTCCAAATAAATCTTTCATAAGCAAAGAGTTGCATGAACTACAAAACTACATGGTAAACTTACAATTATACACTGAAAATCAATAAGCAAATAATAATCATAGAGGTTTGTACACCACCACAATATTACATGGCTGTGACTCTGAATATATCACATTTCCTTCATTTTTTTTACCTCCTCTTATTTTTACTGCCCAACAACAAGGCAAAGTAAAAGAGAATCCTAAAGAAGAACCCCCAAGCAATGGTGATCCACAGGCAATTCCATTTACTGAGTTCCGTGATCCCCTGCTGCTTCAGTATATCCATTCCGGTGGTCACGCAGGTGGACGCCGTGATGTTCACGCCCAAAGTTGTGCTCATGCTCTTGAGAAGCTTCAACTTCATTGCCACGGGGAAGGCCTCTATTGGTGAGTTATCAAACATCTGGGTCCCCCTCACGAAGCACTTGATTGGATCATCGAGTTCGTTTTGCAAAACGCCCTCATAAGGGTACTTCACTAGGGAAATGTAGTGAAACCAAAGCCAATAGGGTGGGATTCTATCCCTACTGATGAAAAATCCACTAAAGAGTACGAAATAAGCTAGAACTGCCACCACAACGGTGTATCCCAACATGACATGTGTCACAACGCCTGACAGGAACGTGACGAATGAGCTCCCGGCCCAGAAGGCCGCAAAAGTAGTGAAAAAGAAGAAGAGGAAGCCGTGGAGTCCACCAGCGAGCCCCACGGCCCAGAAGGTAGTAGCGGCAAAGACTATGGAGAGGAAGGCTAGGGAGGGAATGGAGATTATGGAATGAGCTAGGACGTATGAGGAACGGCGGTAGGCATTGTAGGCGGTTTCGCGCATGAAAATGTAGCGTTCTTGGAGGAAGACGGGGATGGCCTCGGCGCAAGTGTAGAATGTGGTGGACATGGCGAATGCGAAGAACCCTAAGCGCTCTTGGATGCCCTTCGGGGAATCATCTAGGTGCCAAAACATGGTGGCTAGGATGATGCCGGTGACGAGGATCGCACCTAGGCGAATGCCGAAGAGTTCGGGCAGTCTTCGGGAGTTTGTGAGGGAGCGTTTGGAGATGACTGCAATTTCAATCCAAGAAGGGTTGGCAAATGTGGGGACTGATGAGGAGAGGTTTGAATCATTTGGTGCTCCGGAGACTAGTTTGCCTCTTGAAATGCTAGCACTAATTGCATCTTTGAGAGAAAGCCTTGGCTTGCAGTTGGAGTTGATCAAGTTGTTCTGATTTTCTCGTTGTTTTTGTTCGTCCATGGTGATCTGCCATGATTTGTTGAATTCCACCAAGTTCTTGGTTCCGCCTGTTTTGCAACATCCAGTTGTAAAATAGTCAGCATCAAATCAAATTTACTCCACAAGTAATATGTAGACTTGAGCTTACTTGAGTTAGCTAGACTGATGTGCTCTCTTTGTATTCAAGTTCGAATGTGCCTCACGTAATTTAGATTAAACTATAATTACTGTTCACATAAAAATCTTTCTACGACACATGTCGATATCAATTAGAAATAGATAAACATGAATGCATATCTTATATTAATTTGATGCAAAAATTTGAAGAACTAATCTTGACATACGCTAACTCTGTTGCACTCACCACTAAATTTTATCTCAAATTTTTACTTGTCAAATATGTTTCTTTTATTCAAAGAATAATGCTGAAGAAACTAAATTTTTAAACTAAATGGTGTGTCACAAGGAATAAGTTTGTTAATCAACACTTAATAAAAATCCAATAACCAACAATCACATCATTTTGATTTACAAAAATTGGTTTAAAATTTTGATCTTCCTAGCATTACCCTTTATTCAAATGTATGCCTACTTTGAATATTACTTCTACCTAATAGATAAAATACTAAATATTTGCACATGCATTATCAAATCATTTAGCGAATAAATTTGGTAAAAAAATTTAGTGTGGTTGAAAAGGTCACCTGGGGTTTCCTCGAGTTCTCGAATGAGGTCAAGAGCAAACTCAGTCCGATTCTCAGTCTCAGGAATCGGATGCCCGAACTCCCCGAAAAACACCGGAAGATTCGCCGGCGATCCGCTATACACAGTCTGTCCATGTGACAAGAAAATCAACCGGTCCATCAAGCTCAATATTCTGTAACTAGGTTGGTGAATTGACATGACCACAATGCTCCCACTCTGTGCAATCCGCTGCAAAACCTTCACCACCATATAAGCACTCGTCGAATCCAGCCCCGAGGTCGGCTCATCAAGAAACAGAACAATGGGGTCGTGAATTATGTCGATTCCAATTGAAACCCGCCTTCTTTCGCCTCCTGAGACGCCTCGGTGGCCCTCGTCACCGATCACAGTCTTGGCGGCATTTCGAAGACCAAGTTGGTCGATCAGAGCCTGGACTCGAGCTTTCTTCTTCGACTTTGATAATCTCCGAGGAAGCCGAAATTCAGCTGAGAACATGAGAGTTTCTTCAACCGTTAGCATTGGGAACAAAAGATCGTCTTGCATGACATAAGCTGATATGACCTTCAAGAGCCTTGAGTCTAAGGCCTCCCCGTTTAGTGTGATCGAGCCTTTTAAGCTGTCCTTGGCGATTCTATCCGCTAGAGCGTCAATGAGCGTTGATTTTCCCGACCCGCTTGCTCCGAGAACTGCCATGATCTCGCCTTCTCTGGCCTCACCGGATATGCCATTGAGCAAAACTTTTGTGTTTGGGTTTGTGCTGTTGTTGTTCATGCCCAGTTTAACCTCTGCCGTATTTGGTTTCCTTTTGAAACAGGCGGGTACTAAGGTCATTTTACGCTGGACTTCTACGCTGTATGTGAGATCAGTGAATGAGAGGACAAAAGGGTAGGAGGAGGACCCGGAGGTGCAACCGTACCCTAACTCAAGAACATGATCATGAGGAGTGATGTCGGGACTCTGTGCATCTCCGACCCACTGGAGGAGCTCGCCCAGGGTAGGGTTTAGGCCTCGGGGTCTCGGGTTGAAATCTACGAGCTCCATTTTGGCTGTGGGAGTTTGATAATTAGTACGAGGACTCTTTGAGAGCGAGATATATAGAAGGTGAGATTGTGATGACGATGGTCACTGTGTTTGGTGAGTTTAATTTAAGTGTCCAACCGCTGCTTGCGTGAATGCTTCTTTAGTTGGTCAGAAGAGAGGGAGAGGAAGTTGTGTCTAGCCTTCTAGTTCTCCACTGTAGTTGTACCAAGTCCAAAGGGCTAAAGGAATTATATGAGTTGGCTCACTCTTACCATCATCTCATTACCATACCCCAAGTGACCTGAGTGGCTTGGGAATTTCTTTACTTGTAGGCTTGAAATTCGAATATTCTTTTATATACGATAAAACTAGATGTGATGGAAAATAAGTTAAATAACAATGGAAATTAATATATCCGAACATTTATTGGTTTTTTTTTTTTTTTCGATAACTCATTCAAAATCTTTCAAATTTTGAAACATCTTTCAACATTGAGAACAAAAATATCACTAAACTAAGTAACTAACATCTAAGCATTAAACTTGAGTTTTCTTTCCTGATCTTTCTCAAGACAAAGGATCAGAACTTGAAACATTTTTCAACATTAAGAACATAGTACCACTAAATTAACTAAGTAGTATTAAACTCAGGTTTTCAATTCACTATACCAAGTGCTTCATATTATATATATACACACACGCTAATGAACAAAGTGTACTTGTGACATTTGCCTGGTAAAGATTCTCAGATCGGTGCATGCATGCATGCAACAGAAGAGCATATAACACACGAAAAAATTCAATAAGTTCTTGCAGCTACATGTTTACGTGCAAATGTTTTATAAGGAAGCACCATAAGAGCTTTTTCAATTTTCAAAGGTAGTTTTATTTATTTTACTCAAACATTATAAAAAAATAAAAAAAATTTATTATCTAAAAGGAGTTTTGAGTTCTACCATAGGAACTCTCCCAACCAGGCTGAACGTATTCTATTTAACTCTAAGGTTTATCGCTGTTTTGTTACTGTGTAATCTATATTAGCTAAAGTCATCATTTCCCCCAACACTTCTCGACAAACTTGGTAGGCCATCAAAATCAAAGAAAACCCACAATTTTGAACAGTTATTACTTCTGACCATCACCAAACATTCTATTGGATAATTAGGGTTTCTTTGTCACACTATTTAATTGTCTCACTTCAACTAAAAAGTTGATGTGCAATTGCCTACATCCCTAGTTGGTTGCAATTGTCAAATGTCAATAGGTAACATTTTAGAAAAAGATGGACTAGGGGTGAGAGGCCGCTTTCGGGTAGTGAAAGGTGTAATTGTATAGGATTTCAAATTTGAAGGGACCTTAAAAAAATTTTACTTTGTCCTAGTTGGTTGCAATTGCCAACTGTCAATGGGTCAACATTTTAGAAAGACAGACTAGCTGCCAGAGGCTGCTTTCGGGTAGTGAAAGGTACAATCCTATAGGGCTTCAAATTTGAAGGGACCTTCAAAAAATTTTGCTATCTAATATTTTTATGTAATAATACTATATATTAAAAAAAAATTGTTTTTATTAGCACTATAAAATTTCATTGTGCACTCCTTATAAGTATAAATTTTGTTTTTTCTATATATAAAACTTTAAGAGTGCAAATAAGATATTTGGAATGCCAATAACAACACACCAAAAAATGGTTTTTTTTTTCTTCTTTCAATTTAATGTTATAATGCTATATATTCAAGTAAAACTTTAAATTTAGAGTTTTCGAAGGTTTTTTTCTTGTTTGGTTGTTTAAGACTAAACTAATTTTGATTATTTGGTGAAGATTATGTTTGTAACTCTTTTTACTTATTATTAATGACAATTGAAAACTTAGTGAGTCCTAAAGTTTGTTTTGATTTAAGTTATGCTTTCTAGCATTAATATATTGTTCTTTTTTTTTTTTTTTGGAAAACTATCATAGGAAGGGCCCCTATTATAAATTTTGTGTAGGACTCCCGAAATCTTAGAGACTGCCTTGCTAGCGGCTCACTACTACTCACACTACAGTTATCCTCAACTTCCAATTTGTATCCTACCCCCTCCATAACGTGTAGAATTTTCATCACAAAAACAATTAAAAATGAAGTCGTGATAATATAAGTCAAATTTAATTATGTCAATTCCCAGCTTATTCAACATGAATTCTCACTATTAGTTCTATCTTTTTTGGGTTGGATTGCTTTGTTATGGATGAGGGATGACCGGAGCCTCCTAATCTATTTTCTACACGCCTCCATTTCTTCACGAAAGCCCCATTCTCTCCACATGTCCTGCTTCGACACCTTTAGCTTAATTTCTTAGCTAATTACTTAGTTGTTTAACCCTTAACCTTTTCTTTGTTAATTATTAATTGGTAATAATATCTCTATGCGTATGGGCATATGATATCGGCTATTTTTAGGTAAGGATTTTACATCTGCGGTGCACTGATTCCGTAGTTTGGTCTTTGTAGGCGAGAAAATATGAAATATGGATGGAAAGTAAATAATACTCATTGTGTTATATGCCATGTGTATTGCATTGTTTGGATTGGGGGTTAACTCTTGGAGCTCATCAGCACATAAAACCCATGGAGGCTGACACTTTTCTTAACATGCATCTGATATTCTGTGATCGGTTTCTTCTACTCTCAATACTGTTAACGCAGGGTCCTGTTTTCACCGTTAAAAATACCGTTTGTATAACAAGAACGAGACATTTTGTCTCTTCCACACAACCTAAGGAACCATTTGATTTAAAGTTTAGTTTTCACATTTGTGCTTAATGTACGCGAAAAGGTATATGAGAGAAATGAGGATTGAAGAAGAGTGAGAAGGATGATGGGAGAGATGTACAGAAGGGTACAAGAAACTGTGAATAAAATAAAAACCAAATTGAGTTATTTTTACTTTCAAAAGTTTGTTTTCATCCGTTCTTTATTTATTCCCCAACCTCTCATTATCCTTCTTCCTCACTCAATTTTTCCATATAGTTTCTTTACATCTTAAGCACAAAAAGTGAAAATGCTTAAATGAGCCCTAACTCTAATTTTAAGTACATGTATTTGACTCTTCATAAACTACATGAAAACAGGGCTTACGTGACAACGTACATTTGTCCCAGAAAGTGAAAATGCATCACATTTGATAATATTTGACACTAGATCATATGTGACGCATATACAGTGTCACTACCAGCATCACTTATAAGGCGTCATGAAAACGAAAACTCTATGTGAAAATTTTAAGTTCACCACATATTCCAAGTAAACCTGATGTTGCCTTCGCCACTTAATACGAGTTCAGATCAACGAGAGTAATGGATTGGTGATGGATAAGGTGTCACGAAAATTTTAAATTCACCACATATTCCTAGTAAACCTGAGATGACACACCTCGATCCTGATATTCCCCAAACACCAGGATAGGTATGTGCTGGCCGACACCCGAAGTTGACGCAAACCATTTAGAATGCATGAGAACAAGACTAAATTAATATGCAATTGAGGAACGTGTTTAGAGCATACAACTAATCTAGAACACTAAAAAGAAATAATATAAAATTAAATGAACAAAGGAGTGGGTCCTACACCAAGAGGACTCGAAGATGCCGATGCGGAAGTGCCTTGACACCAGGATTGTACGCCTCGATTCTAAGTCTTGAAGGGGGCGCAAAACAAACATGAGTGGACCAAGTTGATATATATATATATATATTGTAAAACAATTATCAACATACTAACCCCTAAAATTTTATGAAAACTAATATGCATAATAAGTGGTAGGTTCTCCGAAACCCTAGCATACCATGCAATGTTTCAAAACATATGTCGTATATATCTTAATCACTAGTGAATGTCCAGTCTCACTCCAGGCCCCGTGCCAGCTTCCCATCCCTGCACCATAGCTAGAGGAAATCATCTTCAGGCCTGATGGCAGCTCTATGTCTCTCAGCCCGTAGCTAGAGATTAGTTTTCCTAGCCTTATGCCAACACTGTAACCTCACCCATGGTGGAATAGGGACCACTAGGTAAGTAGAAAAGCATTGAACATATATATATATATATATCCGAAAAGCAACTTCATAGTATAAAATCATCCATCATCTATACTATAAAGAAGTGTTCAAAAACATGTTCTAAATATTATATCGTCATCCATTAGATATCCTATAAAGAACATGAGTTATAGGAAAAATAGTATAATTTAAACTAGTCTCAGTAAGCATGTTATCTCATAAAACGTTTCATAAAACATAATCATTAAATCATGCTTTCCATGTATGCATTTTTACTATTAAAACATGCATTTTAGAAGGAGTTCAGTCATAGATACTCCGTCATAGATAAGCTGTACGAAAAAGGAAAAATGGAATCGCCGCTAGAAATTGCACCTAAGCACATAAAGAGTACAATTAACAAAACTATACTCAAACGATTTAATTTGGGAAAACGGACGTCAGAAGTGGATTTAGGACTTCAAAATTAGTCTAGGAGGGGTTCCAGGGTAAGGGGTTTGGACTTGGGTTAGGGTTAGGTCTAGGTGGGTTGGGCTTAGGATAAAGGGTTTAGGTTAATAGGTTAGGGAATTGGGTTGATAAAAGGGCCTGGGGTAAATAATTGGTTTGGGCTTAAAAGGGTCACGGGTTGGGCTGGAGGCCCATGGGTTTTGGGCTGATTTCAAAGGACTTGGGTCGGGTTTACCCGTTTGCGGGCCAATGAATTGGCCGGTTTCTAGGCACCACTTCAAACGCTCATAATTTATTCGTTACTCAACGAAATCAAGTGATACAAAAATGAAAGTTGTAGTACTCGACGAGACTCGCCCTTTTTTTTGTCGGAAAACGCCTCGAAAGGGGCGGTGCTAGCCAGAAAACTGGGTTTTTGGCTGAAAGTTTGGACAATTTTCAAAGCTTCGTAACTTCTTCGTTTCTAAACCAAATTGAGTAATTCAAAAGCCAAAATGTATTTAGGAATGTGGAGAAGAGATTCATACCAAGTGGGGATTGAGTGGTGATTGGAGTTGGCTGAAAAATGACCGAAACATGGCCAAACGACCACGGTTTTTTGAAGTTTCCAAATTTCTGGAAAATGCCCCTTGAGTTGTTTTTCGTGCTAAAACCTTCACCAAATCCATTTTTAATCACTAACCAAGTACTGTAGACTATGGGGAAGGAAGATCAAAGGAGTCTCGAAGCTTACCTTCGCCAAAGACGGCGATATGTCGTCGGAGTTTGTCAGG